GTGACATATCGCCATTGGAGGCTCTCTTCATTCCCTCCCTGGCATGTGCAGAATCATGATTTGCACAGAAAGGGGCAATGGGGTGAGGAGGGAGCCCTCTCCCTCAGGGTACACACTTTTTCCTGAGCATCCTTGTAGAGCCTGCTCGAGGTCTGGAAGCCCAGGATGAGGCCCTTCTGGTGTCTGAGTCCTGAATGCACTGCCCTGTCATCCTAAGAGGCCCACTCTGCCAGTGGGTGTGAGGTACACCCAGCCCCTGTCTCCCAGAGGTGACAGTCTGGGACCATGTCCTCTTTCTAGTTGCCCCTCCAAGTTCCAGTCCACCAATGCCGCTGGATTTCAGGTCACAAGAAATTTTCAGATCATACTTTATTTTCTTTGCAACTGATTTTTATCATTTTAGTAGTGGGCTTCCCCGGTGGCTCAGATGGTTAAGAATCTGCCTGCAGTGTGGGAGACCCGGGTTCAATCCCTGGGTTGGAGAGATCTCCTGAAGAAGGGAATGGCAACTCCAGTATTCTTGCCTAGAGAATCCCATGGACAAGAGGAGCCTGGTGGGCTATGGTCCATGGGGTTGTAAAGAGTTGGACACGACTGAACGACCAACACTTTCACTTTTTTTGCATTCTTAGTAGTAGTCATAGTTCCATAAGAAGAAGCTGATGGGAGCCTTTATCTGGTGGTCCAGCAGTTAAGAATTGGTCTTGCAATGCCAGGGACATGGGTTCAATCCCTGGTGGGGGAGCTAAGACTTCACTTGCTGCAGAGCAGCTAAGCCTGCGCATGCGACTACTGAGCCTGTGCCACAACTAGAGAGTCTGCCTGAAATTCCGCATAACACCGCGAAGGTCCTGTGTGCTACAACTAAGGCTGGATGCAGCTAAACAAATAAATACTAAAAGAAGAAGAAGAAGAGGCCAATAGTAGTGATATAAGGTGGAAATTTGTAGTCTTAGGTAGATGGGACTGGGTTCAAATCTTGACTCTGCCAGTTACCAGTTAATAAGTCGAAAAGCAAACCCTTGGTCCCATTCCTCTCCCTGGCCTCTTCTGGAGACTCTACCCTCCCTCATATCTCCCCATCTCTTGTGTTTCCTGCCTAGAGAAGTTCCTTTAGTACTTGTTGTAATATCAGTACCAAAGATCTCCCCATCTCTGTAAATGATGCCACTTTCTGCAAATTGCTCAAGACCCAAACCGACAAGTCATTATAGTCCACATCAAATTCCCGAGTGGACACTGGCAGCTCTGTCTTTGCAGTCTCCCCAGCCCTCTTTCATCTGCCACAGTTGTCCACGTTCCTGTCATCTCACACACAAACTGTTGTAGCGGCCTCCTAGGGGACTTCCGCTCTTGACCTGCGACAGTCTGTACTCTCTCCAGCAGCCAGAGGGGTCCTTTTATAACATGTCAGAGCATACCATTCTGTGAACCACACCCCTCTCTGCCACCCCCAGAAGCTTCTCATCTTATTCTGTGCAAAAGCCAAGTTGTTTCAATGACTTTCAAAGGCATCCCCTTGCCTCCTTGCCTCACCGGCCTCACCTTCAGCCACTCAACCCCCTCACCTACTCTGTCCTGATGCCCTGGCCTACTGCTGTTTCCCGAATACATGGAGCAGGGCCTTTGAACTTGCTGCTACCTTTGCCTGGAGTGAGGTCCCCCAGATTGTCCATGGCCAAATTCATTTCACTTTGCTCTTTGCTCAGATGTTACCTTCTCACTGGCCTTCCTTCTAAAATCCCAAGTATCTTTTTTCTCTCACTTTCTATTTCCTTTACCTTGCCCTGTTGGGCTTCCTAACACTATCCCTACTTGTTTATTGTCTGGCTCTTCCAAGAGAATGTAAGCTCCCTAGTAGAGGGTCTTTATTCTCTTCATTGCTTATATTAGTTTCCCAGGGATGCTATAACCAAGTATCAAAAATTGGGTGACTTTAAGCAGAAATTGAGTGTGGAAGTTGGCTGTGGAGGCTCTTAAGGTTGTGGAGGCTGGAAGTCTGAAATCAAGGTGTCAGCAGGGCCACATTCTCACTGACAGCTCAAGGGGAGGATCCTTTCTTGTCCCTTCCAGCCTCTGGGGTTTGTTGGTAATCCTTGTGTTTCGTTTTGTTTTTTAACTTTTTTGTTTGTATTGGAGTATAGTCTATCAACAATATTGTGATAGTTTCAGGGGGACAGCAGAGGGACTGAGCCGTACACATCCATGTATTCATTCTCCCCCAAACTCTCTTCCCGTTCTGGCTGCCACATGACATTGAGCAGAGTTCCTTGTACTATACAGTAGGTCCTTGTTGGTTATCCATTTTAAATATAGCAGTTGTGTCCATGTCCATCCCAAACTCCCTAACTATCCATTCCCCCCAACCACCCCTCTGGCAACCATAAGTTTGCTTTCTAAGTCTGGGAATCTGTTTTTGTTTTGTAAATAAGTTCATCTGTATTGTAACTTTTAAAGATTCCATTATATAAGGAATATCATATGCTATTTCTCTTTCTCTGACTTGCTGAGAAGTCATTCTCTAGGTTCATCCATGTTGTTGCAAATGGCATTATTTCATTCTTTTTAATGGCTGAGTCGTGTTCCGTTGTGTGTGTGTATGTGGATACATATTAATATATATCTTCTTCACCCGTTCCTCTGTTGATGGACCTTTAGGCTGCTTCCACGTCTTGGCTGTCGTGAGCAGTGCTGCGATGAACACTGGGGTGCACGTTCACATGCCTGTCTCCTCCTTGAGTGTCTTCATCTTGTCTTCCATCTGTATGTGTCTGTGTCCAAATTTCCCCCTTTAATAAGGATCGGTTCCACCACCCTAATGACCTCATTTTAACCCTATATCTCTAGCCCTCTAAATAAGGTCACATTTTGAGGTGCTGGGGTTTAGATTTATCTTTTTGGTCAGGTGACACAATTTAACTCATAACACTGCTGAGTCTCTGGCTCCAAGTAGACACTCAGTGATTGTTTATAGGAGTCAGGGTCTACCATTTACTGTCTGTGTAGTTTGGGCAGTTTATCTAATCTCTCTGAGTCTTGCATGTAATTAGTGATCTCAAAATGGTAACCGTTATTAATTCTGCAAACTAGTACATGGAGAACCTGGTAAATGCCTTATGATGTTACTATGAGGTCTGATAAAATCATGAATTAAAAGCACTTGGCACTTAATATGTGGTCAATAAATGGCAGCTGATTTATTACATAAAATATGCACTGTCTCTGGTGATAGAACGTATTTCATTTCCTTGCACACAAAACACAGCCACTGTGCTCAAGACAAGTGCATTGTAGCTGATGTCAAAGAACAGAGCTATGTAAAGTTGTAACTTCTCTGCTGGAAAATCCTTGGCCAAGAGAATTAGAGCAGGATGAGGAAGAAGAAAAATGCTTAGGTATCCTTTCTGTGTGTCTTCACCCAGAAGGATACCAATCTATATGTAAGGCAGGGTCTTGGGGCAAGCATCTTTATCAGTGACCTTGATGGGTGCACTCAGATGAATCACTTATTAAGTTTGCAAATGGTAAAAACCTTGAAAGGAAAGTGGGCATCTTGGATGAAAGACTAAATTACAAATGGAATCTGTAAGATGAAATATAATGGGGATAAATGGTGAGTCTAGGACATGTATGATATGCAAAAATTGGAAAGATGTGGTTTAATGTGGAGGTCCTCAATGTTTGATGTACATCAGAATCACCTGTGCAGTTTTGCGTTATCTGTTTTTTAAATAGAGATGTCAGGGTATATCTCAGACCTTCTGAAGTAGACCCTCTGGTGGTGGTACTTAGTAGGTGTCCTTGGTTGACAAAGGTTGAAAACCCCTGGGGTAACTGGGACAAGTATGAAAAAAAAACAGGAATTTTCTGAGGCTCTGGGCTGAGGCTGTTATTGAGGGTAAAGTGTGTGACATTTCATTCTGGGTTAGTCCTTCTAGAATATGAAGTCTACATGAAGAGGGATTTTTGACTGTCCTGTTAATTGGTGATTCCTGAGAGCCATTACATTCCATGGTATGGAATGGATGCTCAGTGAATTGTTGAATGAATGAACTGAGTTCTGGGAATTTTTCTGTGAAAACGGAAAGACAAGAACATGTCTAGATGTAAATGTCAAGTCTAGAAACTAAGTGGGAAGTTGGTAGTATAAGTTTATAATATGATATAATAGATTTTAATTTACAAGTGCATAAATTAGAGAGGTGAAACTGTTTTGATTAGGGGAGAAGTAGGAAGAGACCTGAAGAAGGCAATGGCACCCCACTCCAGTGCTCTTGCCTGGAAAATCCCATGGATGGAGGAGCTTGGTAGGCTGTGGTCCATGGGGTGGCTAAGAGTTGGACACGACTGAGCGACTTCACTTTCACTTTTCACTTTCCTGCATTGGAGAAGGAAATGGCAACCCACTCCAGTGTTCTTGCCTGGAGAATCCCAGGGACGGGGGAGCCTGGTGGGCTGCCGTCTGTGGGGTCGCACAGAGTTGGACATGACTGAAGTGACTTAGCAGCAGCAGCAGCAGCAGAAAGAAACACGGCCTCCTTGGTGACTCAGATGGTAAAGAATCCACCTGAAATGCTAGAGATCCTGAGTTGGGAAGGTCCCCTGGAGGAGAGCGTGGCAACCCACTCCAGTATTCTTGCCTGGAGAATCCCCATGGACAGAGGAGCCTGGCAGGCTACAGTCTATGGGGTCTGCTGAATGGTCTCTGGGAAGAGGAATTAGATGTATTCTACATACCCACCAAGGATAGACATACTTGAAGGAATAGCCACTTCAGGTGGCCACACTTGGAAGAACTTTCTCTAATGTGTTCAGTGGTCTGAAAGTGGACATCCATCAGGAAGACTTTTTTCAGCTTAGGGTTCAAGCAGAGGTCAGCTGTCCCCTGTCATAGATGATGGAGAGTCTTACACCCAGAAGAAGGCAGTCTTGAAACATTTGTGACCTTGACCAGCTAGAGGTCTTCTCTAATTTTTCTTTCTTGTGTTACGTTTTTGAAGAAATCGATAGTCCAACCAACGTGGTCACTGGCCGAGTGACAGAAGACACAGTGGCGGTCTCCTGGGACCCAGTCCGGGCGGTCATTGATAAGTACATGGTGCGCTACATCTCCGCTGACGGGGAGATGAAGGACACGGCGGTGCCCGGGGAGCAGAACAGCACTGTCCTGACAGGTCTGAAGCCGGGGGAGGCCTATGAAGTCTACGTGTGGGCTGAGAGGGGCAGCCAGGAGAGCAAGAAGGCAGACACCATGGCCCTCACAGGTAACAGGAGAAGGGGAGTCGTCTCTCATTCTTATTCTCTCCCATCTCTAAACAAGCAGACTTCCTCATGGCAGGGAGAAGATTGATTCTTGAATTAGGAGACCGAATCCCACCTAGCACCAGCTCTTTTGTTTGCAGGTGTGGGGCAGGGGGTTGCCAAAGCAATTTTAAATTGCATAATTATGAATTCCCCCCCCCCCACTTTTTAACCTCAAACAGAAGAGACCACCCTTTTAATTTGAATCAGAGGGTCATACTTACATGGGTTGAAATTCCACATGCAACTCCCTTAGAGCAGAGGAATACTTTCTAATTTTCATTTTTTTTGGATGTGAAAACTCAAAACATTTGGCTGACAGTGAATCTGAATGCTTATCACAGCTTGCAGTGGCTGCACGGGCACTGTGTCTGTAATCTCGAGCTCTCTTTCAGACCATGAAAATGGTTTGCCTCCTGAGTCAACATTTACCAAATGTACCAGTTCTAGCTTTATGCTTTCAGAAACTGTAAGGGCTCCCTTACTCCATCCCGTCATTTGACTCGGTTGGGGCCTTCAGGTGTCCCGAGGCTGCGTAGGAATGTATATCCCAGACATTCCTTCTGCTTAAACCCTCCTCTGGCTCCGACTTTGAATTCAGAGAAGCCTAATCCTGGAGTCCACTGTCGTCCCACACAGGTGACAGAAATCCTAGAAAAGTATTCACCTATTGATAAACTTCTGTTTTGGACAGTCTCTTAGTGTCAAGATGCTCAGAGAAGCTGATAATCAGTTAAGAATATGGTTTCAGAAGCTTGACCGTCCAAGTTTTAATCTCAGCTCTACCATTTATTAGCTGAGTGATTTGGGGCAAGTTATTTCACTTCCGTTCCTCAGATTCTTGTCTATTAAATGGGGCATGTGACCGTCTACATCACTGGGTTAGTGTGAGGATTACATGAATTAATCCATGTAAGTACCTGACATAGAGGTGGTGGTGGTTTAGTTGCTAAGTTGTGTCCGACTCTTTGGGACTGCATCAACTCTAGCCCTCCAGGCTCCTCTGTTCCTGGTATTCTCCAGGCAAGAATAATGGAGTGGGTTGTCATTTCCTTCTCTAGGGGATCTTCCTGACCCAGGAATTGAACCCAGGTCTCCTGCATTGCAGGCAGATTCTTTACCAACTGAGCTACAAGGGAAGCCCCTACCTGACATAGAGAATGCTACATAAATCGTAGTCATGCTTATTTCTTGAAATGTGTCTTAGTCTGTTCAGGCTGCTATAGCAAAACACCATGGGCTGGTTGGCTTAAACAACAGAACCTTATTTTCTGTGGTTATGGAGCCTGGAAATTCCCATGATCTGGGTGCCAGTTGATTCATTTATTGGTGAGGGCCCTCTTCTCAACTTACAGATGCTTCCTTCTTCTTTACATGCTGGAGACGGGAGATTCTGGTCTCTTTTTCTCAGAAAGACATTAATCCCACCATGGGAGCCCCATCCTTATGATCTTGTCTAAAGCTCATTCCCTCCCAAGGGTCCCTCCTCCAAATACCATCAAATGAGGGGTTAGATCTTCGACATACACATTTTGAGAAGACAGAAACATTCAGTGCCCAGAAATGTTAGTCCGCATTTGACCTGGAAGCATTTCATGGTCCATAGCCTCCTGAGGCCATGTGGTTTTTGTCTCCTCCAGGGGAAGAAGCAGTTGGCAGTAAGGGTGGTGAGATCTAGATTTGTTTAAAGTTAGGGTCAGAAAACCTTCTGCAGAAGGCCAGATAGTAAATATTTTCAGCTTTGGGGACCACACAGTCTCTGGTGCAGCTACTCAACTCTGCCACTGAAATGAGAAAACAGCCATAGATAGTGTGGAAATGAACTGGCATGACTGTGTTCTAATAACACTTGATTTATGTAATTAGGCAGTGGGTCAGATTTTGCCACTGGACTGACTCTAATTACCAGATCCTGGGTTATATTACACCTGGCCTTCCATTTACCAGGATTTTGGGTGTTGTGAATAGAACATGTGGTTCAACCTTTTAAGAAAACATTTATTTATTATTTATTTTTGACAGTGCTGGATCTTCCTTGCTGTGCATGGGTTTTCTCTAGTTGTGGCGAGTGGGGCCAGTGGGGCTACTCTAGTTGTGATGCATGGGCTTCTCATTGAGGTGACCTCTCTGGTTGAGGAGCACAGGCTCTAGGCTCATGGGCTCAAGGAGTTGTGGTGCACAGGCTTCGTTTCCCTGTAGCATGTGGGATCTTCCCAGAGCAAGGATTGAACCCATGTCCCCTGCATTGGCAGGTGGATTCTTAACCACTGGACCACCAGGGAAGTCCCTAGGTCAACCTCTTTAAGACAGTGAAAGTTGTAATAAAGAAGAGGTTTCCCTGCTCACAGGTGAGGGTGGTGTGAATAAGCACCACAGATTAGAGGCAACCACTGGTGTGGTACTGCTGGGGGTGTCAGGCACAGAGCCGGGCTCTGGGGGTACAGAGGTAAAAGACGTGGTTTGTGCTCATACGTTGTTCACAGTCCTCTGGGTAGAGAAGACAAGTGAAAAAGATAAAGTGCAGTGACTTATGTTGTGTTAACCCTGAAACTATGGGAATCTGAAAAAAGGTAGGGGTGGGAGGGGTCATAGCAGCCCTCAGGAGGAGGTGCCACCTGGAGAGTCTAGAAGGATGGGCGGCTGTTAGCAGTGGGAGCAGCACATGCAGAGGAGGACAGGGAAGCCTGGCGTGCTGCAGTCCATGGGGTTGCAAAGAGCCAGACACGACGGAGCACTGAACAATATAGGTGTGGGAATATCTTAAAGGCTGGTTTTCTGTCTTGCCTTAACATCAGCTTATCTTGGTAATGTTATCTTTAGTGGTGTTTATGGTGGGTAGGTCTGTGAGAGGGGTGGAGTGTGGAAAGATAAGGCTGGGACAGAGAAGCCAGCTCAGAATCCCAGGATAAATTGTCTGTCCTTTCATGTCAGCTGCTGGTACATTCTGAGCTTCTGTGCTCCTTCTGACATGTTCTCCCTTGTCTGCATATCCCACTGAGCTGGCCTGGCCACACTGGCAAGTCATGGTGTGCAGGTCTGAAATAAAGCTGTTGTCACAGAAAGCTCAGCCTTTCAAGGAGGTGGTTTTTGAAACAGGAGAGTAAAGGCATGCCAATCATTACACCCGATTCCTTAGATTTTTGACTTTTTAAGGGTTTATGTTTTGAGGAGAAAGTGATATTTCATACCTTAAGTGACATTCATAATAGCAAAGAGCTCATATTTAAGATTTACTATGCAATATCTCATTTACCATTCATCATAACACAGAGGTAGGTACTGATATTTCCTTCTTTGTAGAGATAAGGAGACCAAGACTTAAGTTGTACAGTTTGTTCTAAGTTGGCAACCAGGAAATAGTGGAACCCAGGTTTCAACTCAGTTTAACTGCATAGAAACTCAGACAAGTAGGACTATTTTTATCCACCTAGACATCAAATACATTCACTTTAAAATTCTCCCAGTTCTCTGGCCTCAGACATAATGTTTTATATGGAAAGAACTGACAGCTTCTACTTATTAGATATTTTTCTTCCAAAAGAAAATATTAGATCTGATGCAAAGATTTATTGAAGTATAACTGCTTTGCAGTATAAGGAGTCAGGAACTAAAAGATAAATCCAGGGTAATGGAGAAATGTATATATGAAGACGATTTCTTTTTCTACAAAGGCAACTTGTAGAGAAAAGTTTATAGAGTTGAGGCGCAATATAGGCTTTGTCTGTAAACCTTACTTTTCATTAAATGCAAATGGCTCATTCTTGGAAATTTCAGACCATTTGCTTAATTAAACCCTTAAGTTATCCCAACTATTGGCATTTAACACACTCTAAAATTTGTTGAGGTCATCATTTTGGTTGTTTGTGTGCTGGCCTTTCACAAATTAGCAAGTTGGCAAATGGTACACTTTTTCATCTCTTAAAGAAATTGACAGCCCCCAGAACCTGGTGACGGAGCAGGTGACGGAGAACACGGCCACCGTCTCCTGGGACCCGGTGCAGGCCGTCATCGACAGGTACCTGGTGCGCTACACCTCTGCTGACGGTGACACCGGGGAGGTTCCGGTGGGGAAGGAGCAGAACAGCACCGTCCTGACAGGCCTGAGGCCAGGCGTGGAGTACACGGTCCATGTGTGGGCCCAGAAGGGGAACCGGGAGAGCAGGAAGGCTGACACCAAGGCCCCGACAGGTAATAAGAGAAAGATGGTCATGGGGATTGAAGTTTGAGGGTATGGATTTGGGTGTGCATGGTAGCAACAGATGTGTCTTGAGTTGAGAGACTTTTCAAAGAAGAGACTGAAGGCTCAAAGAAGACAGTGAGTTCTAGTGGTGATCTCGTCGTGCTGCCCTTCCTGACAGTGACAGCTACTCATGGAGCCACTCAACCGACTAGGAGACAGAAGGAAAGTTGTGCAGTGGCTGTGTTTTTAGCAGACTCAGTCAAGATCCTCATAGGATCTGGTCACTGCAATGATTATGATAGCACTGCTAGAATGATTGCTTGGGAAGTAGTCCTTGATAAAATGGTAAATTAGATACCCAAAATCATGCCAGATACTTAATGGATTGTTTTGATTTGCCATGATGTTGCTAAGAAGACATTGTTCCTCCCACATTTTAGGGAGTTGGAAGCTAAGGAAGTATGTCAGGTTTATAATGAACAGTCCTTTGATGTGGAGAACCAGGGGTTACTTTCTCCCTTGACTCCCACCAGGGAATCTGGGATGGGAAAGCCATCGTCTTGTGCTAAGAGGGCTCTAGGAGATAAAAATCTCTGTGAAGGGGTGATGGGTATATCTTATGTTGCTTCAAGGCTTAGTCTTTCGCAAATGTTTTCTTAAAGAAATTGACAGCCCCCAAAACCTGGTGACGGAGCAGGTGACGGAGAACACGGCCACCGTCTCCTGGGACCCGGTGCAGGCCGTCATCGACAGGTACCTGGTGCGCTACACCTCTGCTGATGGAGACACCGGGGAGATTCCGGTGGGGAAGGAGCAGAGCAGCACCATCCTGACGGGCCTGAGGCCAGGCGTGGAGTACACGGTCCATGTGTGGGCCCAGAAGGGGGACCGGGAGAGCAGGAAGGCCGACACCAAGGCCCCTACAGGTAATGGAGCATGTATCGTCACTGTCTCTGCTAAGCTCATGGTCTGTCTAGGTTGGTTTTCTTCTCTCACCTTAACAGAAAGAGAGGCTTAAGGATGAGCAGGCTGGTATCCTCGCATAGGGAATTGTGTACCCCTTTCTTCCATGGCATAGCTTCTCTTAGAATGTGTAGCTTGTCCTGCTTGGTTAAAGACCAAAGTTTAGGCTTTCAGCATTGACATTCCTTCTCATGATCCTTTGTTCTCTGTCTGTGAGCCTGCTTTGTTGTTAACAAAGCCTTAACATTGGTTTGTTGTTAACAAACCCAAAGCCTTCCCCTTCATAAGGAATAAATATAAAGAAAGCATAAGTAATGATCATGCTGAGGGATGGATTCATCCAAAACCAAATTTCTTCCTTCCTTGCCAGTTTAAAGCCTTTCCATGGTGCTTATTTTTATTTCTGCCCTTTGGATGAGCATTTTTGGCAGAAATGATGGTGTTTTATTAGTTCAAAATAAGCAAATGTCTAGATCACTTTAAGCCCCCAATATGTTTCATTTTAGTAATTAAGATGTCTACATCCGAGTAATTGTACATACTTTATTGAAAGTTAAACTGGCTCTTTATTGAAAGTTAAACCCATCAGCTTGGGCCATTTGTGGGCAGACTGCCTGCCACAGAAAGGGGCGTGCTTGGCTTCTCTTATATTTCTCCTCTGTTCTTCAAGCACTGTTCTTCCAGAGTGCTAGCTAGACTTTCTGACCCATTAATGTTTAGTGTGTGGGTGTTAAGGGGTCAGCAGGGGGAGAGGTGAGAGATCTCACTTGACAGTAACAGTCACAGCTGGCTTGAGTCTGCCATGGTGCCCAACAAGGATTAAAACCAACTCTTCCTTCATGGAACACTTCCTTGGGCTCTTCAGAGACAGCTCATCTGTCCTCTTCCCTCGGCTCTTTCCCTGGAGTGATCTGTGGGCACCTGTACCGCTCTTACTGGTCTCCCACTCCTCTTCCTCTGCCCATACATCTGGGGGTGCCCACCACTGCCCTTCTGGTGGGGTCTCTTCACGCCTCTGGGTGATTCCCTTTGATAGCTTCTATAGTAACCCTGGGTGGGCTATCCTTGCCTTGGTCTACATCTGGTCCATGTGGAACACACATGCACCCTTTGCCCACACAACCAGATATATGTTGTTGTTGTTTTTCTTTTTTTTTTCCCAATGCTGCAGTGTCTCCTTTCTCTGCAGCAAGGCAACCAGCCATTTTTTCACATCTCAGATATTCTATGCACAGGTCAGATACCAGCCCATGATGTTCCCCAAGCTTTGGTCATGTTTTCTCAACCTGGGCACTGTTGATAATTTTTTGTTGCAGGGGTCTGTCTTGTGCACTGTAGCATGTTTAGCAACATCGCTGACCTCCACCCATTTGGGGCCAGGAGCCTCCCTATCCCATACTGAACCAAGACATTGCTGATCACCCCTGGTTGAGAACTTTTGCTCTAGAGTATACCTGTGCAGGTCAGTAAGGGATCCTATTGCAACTGCTTACTCGAGGCTTGGCCCTCACCCGTGGGACTGTCAGTGTAACTCTTTTCAAAGAGATCCACTCTCTAAGTCCCACCTCTTTGTGCTCTCCAACCTCATTCATAGTCTGTAGTTGGTTGATAAATCAAAGGCCACAAAACTGTTGCACCCACCTTGGCTTTGGGCCCTCAGGTTGGAATGTAGATACTGATTTTCTTGGGGTCAAGCCTAAGCCGAGATAAGAGTGGTCCCACTTGAACATATGATTGTCAGTCTATGACAAGACCTTAGGGTAATGGCTTTTGCAATCAACTATTTGCATATCTCTAAAATATTGTGTTTGTTTCCACATTACTGCAATAAAGTGAACATCAGAATAAAGAAAGTCACATGAATTTTTTGCTTCCCAGTGCATATAAAAGTTACATTTATACTGCACTGTAATCTGTGAGATGTACAATAGCATAATGCCTCAAAAATATATATACTTTAATTAAAAATACTTTTTTGCTAAAAATGCTCATCATATGTGAGCCTTCAGCAAATTGTAGCGCCATTGAAGATCACTCATCACAGATCACCAAAACCGATATAATAAGAATGAAAAAGTTTGAAATATTATTAGAATTACCAAAATGTGGCACAGAGACATAGAGTCAGCAAACGCTGTTGGCAAATACAAAATGGTGCCAATAAACTTGCTATGTGCAGGATTGCCACAGACTTTCGATTTGTGAAAAGTGTAATATCTATGATGCACAATAAAGAAAAGCACAATAAAACTAGGTTTGCCTGTATTTGGAACAGAGAAGTGGTGTTGTTCTCTTGGTGAATACATTTTTGAATACATTATCTATGTGTAGTATGGAGGAATATAATCTTGTACATTCATAAAATATCAACAAACTGCTGTCATTTAAAATAGCTTGTGGTAGAAATCTCTTGCATTCCTATACACTAACAATGAGAAAACAGAAAGAGAAATTAAGGAAACAATACCATTCACCATTGCAACAAAAAGAATAAAATACTTAGGAGTATATCTACCTAAAGAAACAAAAGACCTATACATAGAAAACTATAAAACACTGATGAAAGAAATCAAAGAGGACACAAACAGATGGAGAAATATACCGTGTTCATGGATTGGAAGAATCAATATTGTCAAAATGGCTATACTACCCAAAGCAATCTATAGATTCAATGCAATCCCTATCAAACTACCAACGGTATTTTTCACAGAACTAGAACGAATAATTTCACAATTTGTATGGAAATACAAAAAAACCTCGAATAGCCAAAGTAACCTTGAGAAAGAAGAATGGAACTGGAGGAATCAACCTGCCTGACTTCAGACTCTACTACAAAGCCACAGTCATCAAGACAGTATGGTACTGGCACAAAGACAGAAGTATAGATCAATGGAACAGAATAGAAAGCCCAGAGATAAATCCACGAACCTATGGTCACCTTATCTTCGACAAAGGAGGCAAGGATATACAATGGAAAAAAGACAACCTCTTAAACAAGTGGTGCTGGGAAAACTGGTCAATCACCTGTAAAAGAATGAAACTAGAACACTTTCTAACACCATACACAAAAATAAACTCAAAATGGATTAAAGATCTAAATGTAAGACCAGAAACTATAAAACTCCTAGAGGAGAACATAGGCAAAACACCCTCCGACATAAATCACAGCAGGATCCTCTATGACCCACATCCCAGAATTTTAGAAACAAAAGCAAAAATAAACAAATGGGACCTAATGAAACTTAAAAGCTTTTGCACAACAAAGGAAACTCTAAGCAAGGTGAAAAGACAGCCCTCAGATTGGGAGAAAATAATAGCAAACGAAGCAACAGACAAAGGATTAATCTCAAAAATATACAAGCAACTCCTCCAGCTCAACTCCAGAAAAATAAATGACCCAATCAAAAAATGGGCCAAAGAACTAAACAGACATTTCTCCAAGGAAGACATACAGATGGCACAAAAACACATGAAAAGATGCTCAAGATCACTCATTATCAGAGAAATGCAAATCAAAACCACAATGAGGTACCATTACACACCAGTCAGGATGGCTGCTATCCAAAAGTCTACAAGCAATAAATGCTGGAGAGGGTGTGGAGAAAAGGGAACCCTCTTACACTGTTGGTGGGAATGCAAACTAGTACAGCCACTATGGAAAACAGTGTGGAGATTTCTTAAAAAGCTGGAAATAGAACTGCCATATGACCCAGCAATCCCACTTCTGGGCATACACACCGAGGAAACCAGATCTGAAAGAGACACGTGCACCCCAATGTTCATCGCAGCACTGTTTATAATAGCCAGGACATGGAAGCAACCTAGATGCCCGTCAGCAGACGAATGGATGAGGAAGCTGTGGTACATATACACCATGGAATATTACTCAGCCATTAAAAAGAATTCATTTGAATCAGTTCTAATGAGATGGATGAAACTGGAGCCCATTATACAGAGCGAAGTAAGCCAGAAAGATAAAGACCATTACAGTTACTAACACATATATATGGAATTTAGAAAGATGGTAACGATAACCCTATATGCAAAACAGAAAAAGAGACTCAGATGTATAGAACAGACTTGTGGACTCTGTGGGAGAAGGCGAGGGTGGGATGTTTCAAGAGAACAGCATTGAAACATGTATATTATCTAGGGTGAAACAGATCACCAGCCCATGTTGGATGCATGAGACAAGTACTTGGGCCTGGTGCACTGGGAAGACCCAGAGGGATCGGGTGGAGAGGGAGGTGGGAGGGGGGACCGGGATGGGGAATACATGTAAATCCATGGCTAATTCATTTCAATGTATGACAATAACCACTGCAATGTTGTAAAGTAATTAGCCTCCAACTAATAAAAATAAATGGAAATAAATAAATAAATAAATAAAATAGCTTGTGGTCACTGGACATGCACTCTGTGCCAGAAACTGTTATAAAGGGCATGTTATTAGGTCCTATGATACCCAGCTCTACAGAATATGTACTCATGTTATCTCCCTGTGCCTTTTTTTTCCTGTAAACACTGATAACCATAATATATTCAAGGCCCCTTTCTACGTGACATTTGTTGGTCTTGGTTTTCAGAGCTACCCTGGAAAGATGTACAATAACTATTGAACACTCCCATGTTACAGATGCAGAGAAGTGAAGTGACTTGCCAAGGGTCACAAAGCAAGTTAATAATTTATGAGATTAGATGCATGCATGGACCAGTAGGGCTCAAAGGAACCTGAGTCCATCCTGAAGGCAAGATTTACAGATCAAGAAACTGAGGCCCAGCCAGAGACAGCTGGGTTGTCCAGGGCCAGAGCTCTCCTGACTTTGGGTCTACTGCTCATTCTGCCGTTCTGTGCTTCCTCCTTGAAAATCCTCAAGTCTGGATGTATAAAGAGATCTATGTCTGTGAAACAACTGAAAACTGTTATGAGATAGGAAAATTATGAGAATGGGAAAGTATCCCACCCCAAGCAACATGGCCCCAAGATCTCACTCTGTGAATGGTGTTTATTGATCAGCATCTTCCTTTCAGACATTGACAGCCCCCAAAACCTGGTGACCAAGCAGGTGACAGACAACACGGCCACCGTCTCCTGGGACCCGGTACAGGCCGTCATCGACAGGTACCTGGTGCGCTACACCTCTGCTGACGGAGACAGCAGGGAGGTTCCGGTGGGGAAGGAGCAGAACAGCACCGTCCTGACGGGCCTGAGGCCAGGCGTGGAGTACACGGTCCATGTGTGGGCCCAGAAGGGGGACCAGGAGAGCAGGAAGGCTGACACCAAGGCCCCGACAGGTAAGGGAGCATTGCTCTTTAGAAATGTAAGCCCTGAGATGCTAAAGTCAATGGCTGGTCAAGTTTTGTATCGCTAAACTGACAGTGGCAGAATTGATGTTTTCTGGAAGAGCAGGAGAGTAGACTTCTGCCAAACCACACACCATCCCTCACTTCCTTTTTACACATTACATCAAAATAAGGGGCTCACATTTGGCCTCATACTTTGATCTTGCAAAGATAAATGGTGATTGGTTTTATACATCCACTGTCCCTCCAACTGTGTATTTACTTTGTGATCAATCATTAAATATTCCTTCTTGAAAGGAAAGAAATAAGCCACATGTTAGGTTCTGTGAGGTAAATACTTTAGGAAAATGACTTGTGCTGCAATCTCTTCAGGACAAGGAAGTCTTATTGCTTTCTTAGTGGATCAATTCTCTTTTGATTGCTGTGTACTCCATTCTGAGGATCCTAAGGTTGCACTTTTAAACAGTAACGGTTCATAATTTTTAAAGCTCTTTCACATCTCTGTTTCTCATTTTTTAAGTACAGACTTATCGAGTTATAATTTACATACTATAAAATCCACCTTTTTATAGTGTGTGTGATTCAGTGGTTTTTAGTATATGCAGAATTGTGCAGCCATCACCACTGTCTAATTCAGAATATTTTCATCACTCCTAAAACAAACCCCAGACATTAGCAGTTATTCCCCAGCACTGCTTCCTCCAGCCTTAGGCAACTATATACTTTCTGTCTGTAGAAATTTCCTTATTCTGTACATTTCATATAAATAGATTCATAGAATATGTGGCCTTTTCTGGCTGACTTCATTCACTAAGCATAATATTTTCAAGGTTCATCCATGTTATAGCTTGTGTCCATACATTTTATTGCCAAATAATATTTCATTATATGGATCTAATTCATTTCATTTATCCATTTGTCAGCTGATGAGCATTTGGGTTGTTTCCACTTTGGGGCTATGGTGAATAATGATGCTGTGAGCATTTATGAATGAATTTTTGTGTGGGCATGTGTTGTCAATTCATTTGGCTGTGTACCTGGGAGTGGAATTCCTGGGTCATATGGTAACTCTATGTTTAACTGTTTGAGGAGCTGCCAAATTGTTTCCAGAGCAGTGGCATTATTTTACGTTCCTACCAGCAATGAATGAGAATTATATTCTTCATTTCATTGGTACTCAGAGGAATTCATTGAGATGGGTAGAGCAGGAATCAATATCCCATTTTACAGTTGAGAAACCTCAAATACAGAGACATAAATGATTTTGACAAGTCACAAAGTTAGCTGATGATTCATGGAATATTCATGGAATATTATGGTACCTTAAAATCTATTTGGCAAGGCCCACATTTTACAAATGAGGGATGGAGACCCAGCCAGGGGTGGCAGAGTTGTGCAGGGCTGCTGCTGGCTGATGATTGAGCTGGACCTAGAGCTCAGGTCTGCTGGCTCCAGCCCATGGCCGCTCCTCATGGTCCTTTGCTCTGCCTCTTGGACTGGGATTGGAATGGAGCTCTTCTGACTCTGGATCCAGTGCCCATTCTGCTATCCTGTGCCACCTCCTTGAGGATCCAAGAGTGGTGAGAAGACCTATGTCCATGAAACAACTAAAAATCCGCCCAGGAGACAGGAAAACCATAACAATGGAGACTGCCTCACCCCAAGGAACATGGTCTCACTCTCTGGTGCTTGCTAATAGTGTACTTTACCTTTTAGACATCGACAGCCCCCAAAACCTGGTGACCGAGCAGGTGACGGAGAACACGGCCACCATCTCCTGGGACCCGGTGCAGGCCGTCATCGACAGGTACCTGGTGCGCTACACCTCTGCTGACGGAGACAGCAGGGAGGTTCCGGTGGGAAAGGAGCAGAGCAGCACCGTCCTGACGGGCCTGAGGCCAGGCGTGGAGTACACGGTCCATGTGTGGGCCCAGAAGGGGGACCGGGAGAGCAGGAAGGCCGACACCAAGGCCCCGACAGGTAACAGCGCACTGTTCTTCGGGAATGTAAGGCCTGTCATGCTAAGGCTATGCCTCATCTAGTTTTGGTTTCCTGAACTGAAAACTGGCAGAGCTGATGATTTATGGAAGAGCAGGATGGTGTTCCATCATAATGTACTGCATATTCCATCTCTCATTTCCCTTTAACTGGTTTCTTTACAAGTCAGGGCCACTTGGCAGCCTCCAAGCTACAAGTCTGCCATGACTGATGGTCAGGTCCTGCCGGTGCTCCTTCTGAGCGTGTGAGTCTTCTGTTCAGTATTGAGGCTCTCCTGTTGAGTCTGTGATTGGAAACAGAAAATGAAAATCAAATGCCATGAATATTAACTGTAATGTGTTCAAAACTCAACTCTAAAAAGTAGACTTTACATCTACCAAAGTGAGTAGTTGTATGTGGTTTACTTTACTATAATGACTCATTTGAGGATAAGGATAATTTCTATGTTATGTTCTGGCTTCCCTGTTGGCTCAGTGGTAAAGAACCCACCTGCAATGCAGGAGCCACAGGTTCGACCCTTGGGTCGGGAAGACCCCCTGGAGAATGGCAAGGCAACCCACTCCAGTATTCTTGCCTGGAGGATCCCATGGACAGAGGAGCCTCGTGGGCTACAGTCCATGGGGTCACAGAGTCAGACATGGCTGAAGTGACTTAGCACATGCACACATGTGCATGGGTTTATATCTGGAATTTCTATAGTTGATTTACAATATTGTGTTATTTTCAGGTATAACTTCTAGGTTATATTCTCACCTTATTGTGAAAGACATGTATGATTATATTTCTGTACTGTGATTTAGCCAGCAAATCAGCATTACAAGTGAATCTATGATGTGCTAAAGCATATTAAAACTGGATTTTAATTTTGCCGATTCATTTAACAACATATATTGAGCATTTTCCATGGGCCCTGTTCCTTCTAGGCAGTGGGAACCCCACAGGGAGTAGAATATAGCCCACTTCCTCTGGGGGCTTATATTTGCATCGAGCTGGTAGAATCATCTTATATAAACTAAGAGGTCTTTGATGACATGATGCTAGAAACAAAATTTTTAGCTCCTTGTGAGCAGAGACCATGTCTTCTTCAACTGAACCCTGCAAACTGTCTAGTCCCAAGCCTTGTATATAGTGGGCATTTGACATATGCTTATTGAGTGAATAAAGAAATTTGTCTTGCTAAACTCTTGGTAGAGGTAGCAGTATAGATGCTCAGGTTTCAGTCTACTGTGCTTTCTCCTTGGGGAGTCAAAGTCTTTATGGGGAGAGAAGACGTATATCCATGATGCAGTTAGAGCATGCAAGATGGAAACCCCACAAAACATGAAAGGGTGTCACCCCAAGCAAGGTGGCTGTGATTTTCTGCACTCTGTGGCCTATTAATTATGCATATTGATTGTTATTTTCTTTTCAGACATTGACAGCCCCAAAAACCTGGTGACCAAGCAGGTGACAGAGAACACGGCCACCGTCTCCTGGGACCCGGTGCAGGCTGTCATTGACAGGTACCTGGTGCACTACACCTCTGCTGATGGAGACACCAGCGAGGTTCCAGTGGGGAAGGAGCAGAGCAGCACCGTCCTGACGGGCCTGAGGCCAGGCGTGGAGTACACGGTCCACGTGTGGGCCCAGAAGGGGGACCGGGAGAGCAGGAAGGCCGACACCAAGGCCCCGACAGGTAACGGGAGGGACAAGAAAAGCAAACTAGGGTTTTTCACTGTGGGCCGATCTACTGCTGCTGAATTAGGGCACTGCTGCTTTTGTGGCCCATGTCCTCAGTGACTATAGATTATTTTAGGAGTTTACAGTTAAAAAAAGAAAAAGAAAAGAAGAAAAAAACAACAACAAACTCCATTCACCTAAAGAAAGAACAAAGCATAATAATGGGCTCAGTACTGAGCATTCCCATGAATGTCTTAAACTGTTTTCCAAAGCCTGTGTTTTTAATGACGATGCTTCTCAGCTATAGGAAATTATAGGGAATAATATAGAGCCAATATAAAATTCTTAAAACTACTGCATTAAAGTACTGTTTTGTAGCAAGCTATTTGATTTTATTTTTTACTTAATAGGTGATGTTTAGATTAAAGGAACTTTTGGCAGTTGAAGTTCAGTGTTCATTTCAACATGCAGCTAAATTTTAATGAACATTTTCTAAGTGTCAGGCCTGGGATATAACAGTGAACAAAATATATATGATTCCTACTGTCTTGAAGTCCAGTGGGAAAGACAGATAGTCAACAAGCAAATGCATTTATAACTATAAATTATAAGTTTTATGAAGGGGATGAACATGGTATAGGTGTAGAGAATAACAGCAGGGATGAAATGGGGGAGTAGCAGATAACACAGGAAGCTCAACCTGGTCCTCTGTGGCAACCTAGAGGGGTGGGATGGGATGGGCAGAGGAAGGGAGGTTCAAGAGGGAGGGAACATATGTATACCTATGGCTGATTCATGTTGATGTCCTGCAGAAACCAATGCAACATTGTGAAGCAATTATTGTCCAATTAAAAAATTTAAAAAAAGATGCCCATTGACAGAAACACCCAGGTAACAGTGACTTAAAGAAGAAGGAAACTTATTTCTCTCTTGTGGAATGGTCAGAGTGTAAGGTGCCAAGGCTGATATGATAGCTCCATGGTTCAGGAGACCCAGGCTCCTTCCGTATTGTTGCTCAGCCATTCCTAGGGAGTTTTCCCAGAAAAACCCAAATGAACTTCTTGGCTAACCCAATACATGGTAATTACCCATCCTCACTCCAGCCAGTGGAAAGGGGCATGGGAAAGGGAAGAGATGCCTGCACTGCACATGTCACTCCTCACATTCCCCCGGCTAGACCGAAGATACAGTGTCCCTCACCACAAGGGGAGCTGGGAAATGGAGTCTTTAGCTTGATGGCCATGTGTCCAGCTTACAGTTCTGTTATACTGTCCCATCCAGTACAGTGGCCACTAGCAACATGTGGCTATTTAATTTAATTAATTAACAGTAATTTAAAAATTACTTTCTCCTTGAAAGAAAAGCTATGACCAACCTAGACAGCATATTAAAAAGCAGAGACATTATTTCGCTGACAAAGGTCCATCTAGTCAAAGCTATGGTTTTTCCAGTAGTCATGTATGGGTATGAGAGTTGGATCATAAAGAAAGCTGAGCACTGAAGAATTGATGCTTTTGAACTGTGGTGTTGGAGAAGACTCTTGAGAGTCCCCTGGACTGTGAAGAGATCAAACCAATCAATCCTAAAGGAAGTCAGTCCTGAATATTCATTGGAAGGACTGATGTTGAAGCTGAAACTTCAATACTTTGGCCACCTGATATGAAGAATTGACTTGTTGGAAAAGACCCTGATGCTGGGAAAGATTGAAGGCGGGAGGAAAAGGGGATGACAGAGGATGAGATGGTTGGATGGCATCACTGACTCGATGGACATGAGTTTGAGCAGGCTCTGGGAGTTGGTAATGGACAGGGAAGTCTGGTGTGCTGCAGTCCATGGGGTCACAAAGAGTTGGACACAACTGAGCAATTGAACTGAACTGAACTGAATTTAAAAATGATTTCCTCAGTTGCACTATCCACATTTCCAATGGTCAGTAGCCACATGTGACTAATGTATAGATTCTAGACTATTCCCATCATTGCAGAGAGATCTCTTGGGCAACGTGTTTGTAGAGGAAGGGCAGAAGGGGTTGGGGAAAACTAGCCATCTTGGGCAGAGGGAAGAACAAGTGTGTGGCCCTGATTTGGAATAGCATGAGATGGCTGAAGAACTTGAAAGGAAGCTGGTGTTGCTGGAGCATAGAGGTGGGGAGAGAAAGTGGCATGAGATGATGGGGGCAGGGTGAAAGGTCAGGTCATACAGGAACACACAGTACCTAAAAGAGGGGGCATGCTATTCTATCAGGAGAAGAATGGCATGAGGCAATATTCATTTTTAAAAGGTTATTCAGGCCACAGTCAGGAGAATAAATGGGAGAGATGACAGGAGTAGAAGGGGGAAGATTAGTCAAGTTGATAGGGAGAGATGGACAAGTATGATGGCAATAGGGATGAGAAAAGAGGACATCAGGGCACATATTTTGGAGGCATCAGTGACAGTTTTTGTTGATGGATGAGTAGTGGAGCAGGAAGAAAGTGAGGAATCAAGTATGACATCTGTTTCTGACTTGGGGCATCTTCTGAGTGATAAACAGATCCGAGAAGGAACATTAAGACTTCTAAATGCTTACGCTTGAGGTACTCATGGGATTTCTTGCTTAACTAAGAGACTTATGATTGATTCCACAAGTATTTATTGAGTGTTTAATACATGCTAGGTGCTGTGGTGGATATGCTCTTGTAGATACAAGTCAGGGACTCAGGATTGCTAGAAACACAGGGGCTCAGAATTGATAGGCACTGGGGATCAGTGAGCATCTGGCTGGTGTTTAAAGCTGTGGAGGGACTTACCTGGTGGTCCAGGGTTGAGAATCCATCTTCCAATGCAGGGGATGCAGGTTCGATCCCCAGTCAGAGAATTGAGATTTCACATGCTGGGGGGCAGCTACTGAGCGCCTCAACTAGAAAGCCCACGTGCCACAACAAAGGATCCTGCATGCTTCAATGAAGATCCCACATGCTGTGGCTAAGACCTGACACAGCCCTAAGTAAATGATTAGAATATTAATAAAGCTGCGGACATGGCTGAGATCACCTGTAGACAGAGAGGAAGAGAGGGCCCCTCAGGTTCCCCTACGTTTTCAGGTTGCTGATGGAAATCAAAGAGGAGGCAGTTAAGAGAAACCCAGTGGAGTGTATAGTCATGAAAGCCAAGGGCTGAGAGTGTCTTGAGACAGGGGCAGTGGCTCAGCTCTACCAAATGCCGCTCAAAGGTCAAGCAAGGTGAGGATGACAGGTGTCCCTTGAATTTGGCAAGATGAGGTTGTTGGTGACCTAGACCAGCAGTTATAGTGATGTGCTGTAGAAATGTGAAACTTCACTGAGCTGAGGAGTGAACAGGAGGTGGGATATACAGGCGGGTTTTCCCAAGAAGTCTGTCAGTTAAGGGGAGCAGAGGGACGGGAGAGCCTAGAGCTTGTTTGTCTGGGAAGGACGGGAGGCGGGGAGAGACTGAAGGTATAGGTGAGAAAGAGCAGATGAAAGGGAGCAAAGTCCTTGAGAAGGTGAAAGGGCTCACAATTCAGGAGGAAGAGGGACTAGGTTTTTTGTCTAGTTTTTTGTTTGTTTGTTTGTTTCTTTGTTTGTTTATCTTTAGGCCATGCCACACAGCATGTGGGATCCCAGCTCCCTGACCAGGGATCGAACCCATGCCCCCTGAATTGGCAATACAAAGTCTCAACCACCGGGGGAGTCCCCAGAGTCCAAGTTTTAATGCAAGAAAACAGCAGGATCTTGGCCAAGTCTTTTCATTTCTCTAGATCTCCCTTCTCCTCTCCTTTTATGAAAGGGAAGAAGTTTCAAAGATGTAACTTCTCAGCTCTAAAATTCTGTGAAATGAAATAGCTATATACCACGGAGATAGCAAAAGAGGTCCCTTCATCTGCCATTTGGGTCGCTTGTCTTGTTGCTCAGGAGATTTTTATTTTTATTTTTATGGGAACTAGAAGGACAAAAAGTTTCCATGTCTATGCCCTTGGAGAAGATCAAATTCCTTTCAGTTTTAATATAACATTTTCCCAGTGGTTTGTTTCCCCTGGAAAAATGTTTTCAATGGAATTGTATTGTTAATAAAACATATCATGAATGGTGATATGTTCCTTTGGCCCTAAAATTCAGCATTTCCTTTTTAAAAAGAAATTGACAGCCCCAAAAACCTGGTGACGGAGCAGGTGACGGAGAACACGGCCACCATCTCCTGGGACCCGGTGCAGGCCGTCATCGACAGGTACCTGGTGCGCTACACCTCTGCTGACGGAGACACCGGGGAGGTTCCGGTGGGGAAGGAGCAGAGCAGCACCGTCCTGACGGGCCTGAGGCCAGGCGTGGAGTACACGGTCCACGTGTGGGCCCAGAAGGGGGACCGGGAGAGCAGGAAGGCCGACACCAAGGCCCCGACAGGTACTGTGAGGGGTGGGGGACGTGGAGCCCTTCACACCTAACAGGAGATTGCCTTCCTCCACATCTAGTCTGAGGAGAGGGCAGGGAACACAGTGTTGCCCCTGAGGGCATTCTTCAGAGTGCTTCCCTTTTCACCTTTCTGAGGTAATACGTTGACAGACAGGGCGTGTCAGGAAGGACATGGTGTGAAGGAAGACCGTGTGACTCTTCAAGGTGGCTGTGTGGAAGGGAGCCTCCCTCACACCCCCTTCACCCAGCCCAGCTCCCAGGCTGTCCGTCCTGACCTGAGGACCTGGCTGGGCCTCAGCTCCAGTTTGGGGAAGAGGGAGGCGAGGAGCCTTTTCTGCTTCCATCTCCACATTGGGGCAGTGGTGGAGCATCTTCCTTCTCCCTCTGTCCCTCTCCAGTTGGCCAGTAAAGGGTCCTGGACTGCCTGTATTTTATGTGCGTGATGAGACCCCTGGTCTCACTGAGCACTGTGGAGATGAGGCCTCACAGGGACCTGACAGGATCACGCAGCCCACCCTGACGTCCTCGGGTCTTTTTAGACAGTCTGGGCAGAGCCTGGCCATCCCCTGTGTGGCCACAGTATTACCGTGTGTGGCCACTGAAATTAGAGGTGCCTTGAATGTATTCATTATTTTTATCAGTTACAGTTAGCGGACGTTTTCAATAAAAAAGTAATACATGCTTATAGTGAAAATTTTCAAACTAAACAAAGGTGTGTAGAAAGAAAAATTCTTTTCCACACCCAAGGCTCCCTGATACCCAGGATTTCTGTCTTGGGGTAGTCAGCATCTTCCTCCTTCCTTCTTCCCCTCCCTCCCTTCCTCCATCCCCCGTCTCCCCTCCACCCCCAGTCTCCCTCCCTCTTCTTCTTTCCTCCATTCCTCTCTCTCTTTCTTTCTTCTTTATCTTCTCTTTGTTTCACTTTCCCCATTAAAAAAAATTTTTTTTTTGGCTGCGCTGTGCAGTGTGTGAGATCTTAGTTCCCTGACCAGGGATCAAACCTGCACCCCCTGTAGTGGAAGCTCAGAGTCTTTGCCACCGAATCACCAGAGAAGCCCCCTCCCCATTTTTAAAGACAAAAATATTTCATCTTTCTACTTCGTAGAAATGTAGAAATAACTAAGACAGACATCTCAGGTTCATAACCTGGGGATGGGTGGGCAGTCAAAGGGGTGGCAGAAGCCAGCTCAAGATATTTACATAGTTAAGGTTTTCCTTTGATTCTGAAACCAGGAAAATCAGTTTTTCTGCGTGATGGATGGAATAAAATCCAGACCAGATGTTATGATTTAGAAAGCCACACCAGGCTGATATTACAGAAACTCAAAATTTGTCAAAACATCCTAATTCGAAACAACAGCTGCCTGATTTCTATTAAAATACTGCATTTCAGTTCTCTGCTGAAATGCTACTGGGTAGAAAATAGCCTAGAGACATCTTTTTTGGAAACTTCTAAATTAAAGTCACCCTCTATGACGATTTTTCAAAATGGAAATTTCCATTCACATTTTGTTTGCTTTAAAAAAAAGTGAGCTGTCTGACCAATTATTGTGGTGTTGACTAGAATTTCTGCTGAGATGTAGTCTTCCTGGTCTACAGTGCACACACGCACCCACGCTTTCCCTCTGGTGTTTGAGTGGAGAAGCGCGTGGGAATGAGAAGACATCTCTGCTTTTCCTCCATCTCTTTGACCCTGTCTCCCTTTCTCTCCTCTTTTGTACAAGCATCTCCCCTGCTTCCCCATTTTGTACAGGGTATGCATCTAAGGCTGCACACTTAGTTACCTAAGACACAGAACTTTATATTTCTGTACCAACTTAATTTCTATTATAAGTTCCCGTTCTGTTTGTTAGTTGGAAATCTCAGTAAATTTAGTCATGCTTCTTCCTCAGGGCTGTGTATGAAGTCTCAGGTGATTTTCCAAGGCCAGGCATGGTCTTGTATTTTGGTCATCCTTCTGGGCAGGTGTTTACTGAGTGTCCCTGGTTTCTGTATGCAGGGGCCTTTCAGATCTGTTTGCCTCTGCTACTCCCAAATTCAGAGTGCCATTTTTACCACATCATATATATATATATATATATATATATATATATATATATACACACTGCATTGGGTCTTAGTCCTTCCTTGCCACTCTGGGAGCCCTGCCATCTCCAGGACTTTGCTGATCGAGGTTGCTCATACACACCACTCTCTGTGGCTTCCCTGGTAGCTCAGTCAGTAAAGAATCTGCCTGCAACGCAGGAGACCTGGGCTTGATCCCTGGGTCAGGAAGAGCCCCTAGAGAAGGAAATGGCAACCCACTCCAGTATTCTGGCCTGGAGAGTCCCATCCCATGGACAGAGCAGCCTGGCGGGCAACAGTTTATGGGGTCACAAGAGTCAGACATGACTGAGTGACTAAACCACCACCACCACTCTCTGCAGATCTGCTGGGGAAGTGGGAGCCCAGGTTCACTCCCTCTGAAGCTCACCCCTTAACCCCCTTGTCCTCCGTGGGTTTATACTTTTAGAAAAACATATCCTAAAGACCTTATGGCAAGGAAGAAGGGAGCCTGCTACTTACTTGATAGGAAGAAGAAAATGGGAATGTGTAGGGAGAGAATATAAGCGGAAATCTCAAAAATTACCTCTTGTCATTACCTTAGTAATAATTACTACTTGATGTTTTATATACAGACATTGACCCTCCCCAAAACTTTCGTCCTTCTGCTGTAACCCAGTCTGGTGGGGTATTGACCTGGACACCCCCCTCTGCCAACATCGATGGCTATATTCTGACCTACCAGTTCCCAGACGGCACCATCAAGGTACTGGACATTCATCTTTTCTCTTCTGCCCCAGCCTCCATGTACAGTAACTCACTGGGGCCAGCCAGCTCAATAGCTGGTCCCATGGCAACCTGCTTATGAATGTGTTGATCCTTACTGATCACTTGCTGTATGCAAGGGAGAAAGCTAAACTTGGTCATTTGTGAACAGTGTACATGTGGTCTCATTTTATGGGACTAACTTTCGTGCCTACTCCTTCCTAGCTGCATGTCACGTATCCGCTGGCCACACATCTGTCCCGTGTTACTTCCCCAATAAATGTCAGCTCCACAAGGACAGGGAATTTTTGTCTGCTTTGCCTCGCCTTGTGTCTAAAGTGCTTGGAACTTAGCACATGTTTGGTGTTCGATAAATATTTATTTAATGAATTTGATTAACCTTATTTCAAGAGTTATACCTCCTACCTGGAATTAGAAAGCCAGCATATCTTTGTGACTTGTCCCAGTGGAAAGTTGGTATTCTCTTTCCTTGAAAAGGAAGAAAAAAAGGGAGGAAGGAAAAAAGGAAGGACACCTTGATTTATTCATTATCTCAGTGGTAAAGCTGCCATTATAAGCATAGGGAGAAAGGTTATTGAAAACCCAGCTATCTCCCTGCCTCAGATATCAGTGGCCAGCTTCACTTTGCCCATTACTTTCTCAGCTTGCTTTTGCTAGCCTGTTGCTGCCAATAGTGGCTGTTGTTGGTTGCCCAGCTTGTATCTGGAGGGCAGGAGACCTCATGTGTGCTCCCCTCGAGGGTGCTCCCCGGGTGGCAGTTTGAGGTCCTGGTGGTTCCCAGCTAGTGCTGGGAAGTGCTGAATCTCCATGGCATAGCCCTGAAGAGAAAATGGAACCTACTGGCATTCTGGGTTATTACTGAGCCCTCAAAAAGACAAAACTCTACCCTCCCAAGGAGCTTCTGTCATTAGCACCAGGGAGTGCTGTTGACACTGAGGGTGCTGTGGGTGATAAGTGAATGTCTACTGTCTTCTTTGTTTGGTAGGAGGTGCAGCTTGGAAGAGGGGACCAGAGGTTTGAGTTGCAAGGCCTTGAGCAGGGTGTCAGCCTCCCTATCTCCTTAGTTGCCTTTAAGGGTGATCGCCGGAGCAGGAGTGTATCTACCAACCTTTCCACAGGTAATGTGAGCTCATGCACTCTGAAAGAGAATGCAATGCGGGACAAGCATGGGATAGACCAGAAAATGCATCCAAGGAGAAGCGAGTGGCGACAGGGCTCTGGATTTCTCTAGACAAGGGGAAATGGAAATGGGGTTATGAATTCAGAAGAAATGCATCCCATGGTAAAGAGATGAAGGAAGGGAGTGGAGTATTGTCTGGCGGAGGGTAAGAGGGGGGTGTGGTCAGAGGAGGGAGTGATGTGAACTTGACCTTATCTGGTAGCACCAGTGGTAAATGCCAATGCAGGAGACGTAAGAAATGTGGGTTCAATCCCTGGGTTGAAAAGATCTCCTGGAGGAGGGCATGGCCAACCCACTCCAGTATTCTTGCCTGGGGAATCTCACAGACAGAGGAGCCTGGTGGCTTGTGGAGCATAGGGTTGCAAAGAGTTGGACACTGAAGCAATTTAGCGCACACTAGTACATTTCGGGGGGGTTGATGTGAGCAAGCAGGGTGAGTGAGAAAAATAAGATGTGAGTGAAGAGTTGGAAGATGCAAAGTAGTAGGAGGTTCCAAAATAATTTCTAAACAAAGTGAAAGCGAAGTCGCTCAGTCGTGTCCGACTCTTTGCGACCCTGTGGGCTATAGCCCACCAGGCTCCTCTGTCCATGCGATTCTCCAGGCAAGAATACTGGAGTGGGCTGCCACTTCCTCCCCTCCTCCCTTGCCTTTCTCCTAACAGTCCTGTCCTTCTGCTTGGTTCCCAGTTGGTGCGCGTTTCCCACACCCTTCGGACTGCAGTCAAGTTCAGCAGAACAGTAACGTCGCCAGTGGCCTCTACACCATCTACCTGCGCGGGGATGCCAGCCGGCCTCTGAGGGTGTACTGCGACATGGACACAGATGGAGGCGGCTGGACTGTGAGTCACACAGAGCCCTGGGCTCTGTCTTGTTTCTCAGCCCAGGGAGCTCTATTTCTTCTTCCTCCATGGGAGAGAGATGCTTTGGTGCCTTGCAGCTGTTTTCAGAGAGATCCCACCCCACTGTAAGAACAGAGCCCGAGGTACTTGATTCCTGGGATAGAGCAGGCTTGGTTAAATTCAGGGATGTTTGGGAAGGCTTGGGGGTTTATCACCATCTGTTAATACTAATGGCCTCTTTACATGAGTTGCCCACATTTTTACTCTCTGCAAAGCACACTCATAAACATGACCTTCACATATAAGCTATAGAATGAGAGAGATTACTGCTCATACTTTATAAATGGGTAGATTGAAGCCCAGAAGGAGAAGTGCCCTGACCAAGGCACACGTCGTTCAGTTGGTCAGTCATGCCCAAGTCTTTGTGACCCCATGGATTGCAGCATGCCAGGCTTCCCTGTCCTTCACCATCCTCTGGAGTTTGCTCAAACTCATGTCTGCTGAGTCAGTCACATTAGTTAATAACAAAGTTGAGACCAGATTCTCGGACTGCAGCCTCCTGGGTCATTGGTTTTCCCAATGGGTCATCTCAGGTCATCCAAGATGGAAACACATGGCCTCTTTGGGGGCTCAGTCCTCTGAATTTTGGAGCCTGTTGTCCAAGCTCTGCATTCTGGCTCCACAGTACAGAAGCAGGGCTTTTGGAACTTTGATACGAAAGGCTAAACCCTGAAAGAGGGAAACTTGCAATGTTCTGATCATCTCACATCTGTGTGGAGGTTTTATTCTCTGTGGGCCATTAAACCACATGGTACCTTCTTTGATTGCATCTGCAGATCCAATTATATGATGAGCTGCTTTTGAGACTTTCAATCTGATCTTCCCACCTCTCCTTACCCTCTTCTCCCTATACCTGAACAGCGAGAGGCTCTCACTGCTCCAAACCAGCCTGCAGCCTTACCCGCTGTGCTTCCACCACTTGCTGTGGGAAGGAGAAAGCATGATCTCATAGAGCTCAGACTGCGTTCATTTATACATTCGCTCAGGGGCCTGAGGAACCAAAGACACTCGAGCAGCCACAGATGAAATGATACCATCTGATAAGCAGCAAAGAGGAAAAGTTATTATCCACACAGCTGCATCTGATGGCTGAAAGGCAGAAATGGATCAGATGGGGGATATTCCTGATTGATTTGTAAAAATAATAGAACCGAGTGTCACATGGGAGGCCATCACCTGACCAGACTCTTGGGCTGCACCTGCAGCTTCTCGTCAGCACCACTGTACATCTGTGCTTCTGTCCCTTTAGGCTTGAAGTCAGTTCCCTGCCTCTGTCCCTGTAGTTGCCCATTGGCAGGATGTCTGTACTGTCCCGTGTGGTTCTTTTTGTTGTTTGTTTGTTTTCGGGGGTGGATGGTGGCATGCTGCATGGCATATGGGATCTTAGTTCCCCAATAAGGGATGGAACCCATGCTTCTTGCTTTGGAAGTGCAGTATCTTGACCAATGGACCTCCAGGGAGGTCCCTGTTGGTGTGGCCTTTTTGAAAGCCAGCCTCACACAGGCAAAGAGATATGTGTCTAGGGCAATTTTTTGAAAGAGACCTGCTGCTAGTCTGTCTGCCTGGGAGTATCCATGATTCTTTTTCACTAATATTTATTGAGTGCCTACTATGTGTCAGGTAATGTTTTATATACTTATGAACCAGCAGTGGGCCAAAGAGACAAAAATCCCTGACCTCAAGGAGCTTGCCTTTTATATCTTGCCCATGCAAGTGACCTTTGCCAGAACACAGAGGTCAGTTCCAGAAACAACTCTGGGTTCCCGCCAATGCCAGTGCCCCATCCCCTCCCAAATCTTGTTTTCTCACCCAGGTTCCTGAAGATACTACATGAACTGAGACCCTGTAGGGTTCTCCTCGAAGTCACTACACTCCAGAAAATATGTGGAGTCCTGCAAACCTCTCCACCAAATCTTTTACTAGTAATATCCATGTTTTCAGGGATTCAGAAGTCTTCTGTCACTGAAAGATGATCATAGTATATTACCCTTATAAACTGAGCTTCTCAAATCCTTTAAAGGAAATTCTTTTCCACTCAGGCAGCAAGAACACAATTTGATTAACTTGGGTTAGCCAGAACTCTGCCCTGAGGTAACTGAGGCTACGGGTGGGAAGCTGGAATGGAGACTATTAAGGAACACTTAAGTGTCTCAAATATTTCCATTTCTGTTTCCCATCTTGTAAGTCCTAAGAACTACATGAGAGGCTCTTTCCACAGGCATTTAAGTGAGATTTTAATTTTTTCCTCCTGATTTAGCCATTTAGGACCAAAACTTCTAGAGTACAATGAAGCTCTGTTGTTAGAATCAGACAAAGATTTTTTCTCCTTTGAGATTTATTTGGCAAGCGGTTTCTGTTATCCCAAATAGTTCATTATAAGGTATTTTCATCTCCTAGAAGGGAATGGACTAGATTCTCAGTGAGTCAATTAAGGCTGCCTGAACAAGATGTACAAATGATCCCCGTGGGTCAGTTCATTTGGAATCTGACATTATAAAATGCAAGCTAACACATTTACTGAGATATAATACTTATTTTATCTGTATGAGCTGGGCTCTGGCCTTTATGATTTATCATGATTCATGACCATGCTGAAGCCTTGATTTAAGAGAATGAGAAATAGGCTATTAACATCCTGATCTCATAGTTTAGAGAAGTGAGGCTAGTCAAGGTTAACTGACTTGCCCAAGGAGACAGCTAGTAAGTGTAGAATTGGGTCTAAATAGTGATGCAAAGAGCATCAGAACCTTTTTTTTTTCAATTTCCCTAGCCACACTGAAGCATTAGTAAAATAAACAAAGAAACAAACAAAAAAATGCTTTGGCACTACGTTCATTGATTGGCGATAGAGACCGAATGCTTTTGTAAATCCTCTGTCCTAGGAGGGTGGGATCAGATTTGAGCTTGACCTTACATGGGAACTAACTACATTGGTGGGAATAGAATTTGATGCAGTGTGTATGGAATCAAATGGTGATGCCCTAGGATTTCATTGCTCATGATCCAGGAGGAGTCCCAGGTGCTGTGATAGGAAACGAACAGACTCAGAATCTTAAGGCATGCTTTTTAAACAGTGGACTCCACATAACTGATGTTTTCAGGCTTCCTCAGGGAAAGATGAGGCAGTGTTTTATCTTTGCATCAGCCACCGAATAGTTGACTGCATGACTCTATTTGTTTTTCTATACTTTCTCATCTGTAAAATGGTATTGTATATTCTTGCCCTGGAGTCAGCCTTTAAAAGTGCTCAATGAGCGCTTGTTACATAGATCAGTAAGTGAAAAAAGAAATCAAGGAAGCCAGGAAAGGAAGGTGATGTCTTTACAAGATGGACATGTAAGAAGAGGGGAAAGGGAACAACAGTGTTAGTGGGTGTTAGTGCCGTTGTTCACCGTGACCATCCCTAAGTTCTGCTTACAGTTCTCTACCCTTTCACACACCCTGTCTCATGAATCCTCCTAGCACCTCTAGGGGTAGACCCCTCCTTCCCGCTCCCAACCCTGTTGGACGACAAGTCGACTGATGCTCAGGAACAGAAATGACTGTCACCAACCCCTGCCAGGACCCCCACCCTTCATTCAGTGCCTCCCAGGCCAGCAGCCAGGGACTGATGCTTCAGGAGTTGGCGGTGAGCTCTGGGCACTGTTGTGGGCAACCCACTCTCTCCTCCCTCCCTGTCTCTTCCCAGAGGAAAATGTGTCAAGAATGCTCAAATATTAGGAGGTCTACCTCACCAAATTCCAGATGAAGTGGTTGACTTAAAGGCACGTGGTGTGAAGCATGGTGGAAAAGAGGGGGATTGGATTTTGTGTTGGGGCTTCTGCTTTTGAAGGAGCACAAAGGACAGTAGGTGGAGAGGAAGATGCCACTCCATTCTTAGGGAGTTCCAGACTCATGTGTGGGGTTAGCTAGGATGGCGTCTAGCATGGCTGCCAAGGCCAGGAGGAATTAGAAGTGCAAAAGCATACATAGGTGTGTTTAGCCTTTAGCTGCTTTTTAGGTTTACTTCACAGAGAAGAGGAGAAGGCAATGGCACCCCACTCCAGTACTCTTGCCTGGAAAATCCCATGGACGGAGGAGCCTGGTAGGCTGCAGTCTATGGGGTCGCGAAGAGTTGGACACGACTGAGCGACTTCACTTTCACTTTTCACTTTCATGCACTGGAGAAGGAAATGGCAACCCACTCCAGTATTCTTGCCTGGAGAATCCCAGGGACGGGAGCCTGGTGGGCTGCCGTCTATGGGGTCACACAGAGTCGGACACGACTGACATGACTTAGCAACAGCAGCAGCATAGAAAAGAATCCAGTGATTCTGGCCAGAACTGCCTCCCTTCCCCAGATGGAGGGATTTTTGAAAAGAAAGCAGCCCATACTCTCATGAAACAGCCCCAACCGTGTCTCCCTGTTGTCCCTTCTCAATCACTCTTGAGCTGGAACCAGTTGGTTTTCTGCCCTCATCACTCACTAGCACAGCCTTCGCTCAAGTCACCGGGGCTTCCATGTCACCAGAGTCTGTGGGAGGTTTGGGCCTCACGTTCCCTGACTTCTCACCAGCACTTGACACCATTGGGCACACCTTTCTCTGGTGGCCTTTCTGATTCCACATTTTCCCAGTTGTCCTTCACATCACCAGCTGCTCCTCTTTCTCCTTCATGAACTCATCTTGCAGTGTGTGGCTCTTATATCTTGGGATCCACAAGGCTTGATTCTAGGCTGCTTGCTCCTTTCAGTTCCTGATTTGGTCTCATCCTTCCAATGGCTTCATCTCCCTCTCTGTGTCCTGATATCTTTCCATGTTAGTTAGGATGGAATGGGCTAAGCTGTAGTAGCAAACTAACACCTAATTCCAATGATTTAACCCATAAAAGGTTTTTTTCTCTCACGTGTGCAAAGTTACTACTAAGTGGTGACTCAGGGGTTCAGACTGATTCCAGCTCATGGTTCTGCTCTGTTGACATGTGGCCTTCACCATGGGACCTTGGTGGGAGAGAGTGGGGAGACCCCCACCCCACACCCTGTGCTCCCGCTTTCAGTCCTGTAGCCGGAACAAGTCACATGGTTCCAACTTAACTGCAAGAAAGGCTACAACAAAAAGTCTCTTTGTGTCCTGGAGAAGAGGAGAGCGAAATTGGACTTGGTGAGCGCCAGCACTATCTCAGACACAAGCTCACCTTCTAAGTCCAGCCAGGCCCCCTCCTGAGAGCTCTGGCCCTGACATTCAGCAGCTCCTATGGCACCTTCATTCACCAGGATACCTCAGAAGCCACTCACACTCACCAGCTCCCCAAATGAGCGATGTTGCCCCCATGAAAACTGTCCTCTCTCAGAGCCCCATTCTTAGCAATTGGCAGAGTGAATTGCCATTAGCACTGGGAGCCCAGAACTCGAAAGGCAGTCTTGACGTCCTCCTCTCTCCCAGTTCCACTTCGGTCCATCACCACCTCTGTCAGTTTCACCTTCTGGCCGCTTCTGTCCATCTTCAGGGCAGCCCCCAGCGTGCCATGCTGTTCTCTCTCATCAGCCACGTCTGTCCACATGTGTCAGATAGAAACGCCCGTCTCCCTCTTCAGGTCTTCCAGAGGCGGAACACTGGGCAACTGGATTTCTTCAAGCGCTGGCGGACCTACGTGGAAGGCTTCGGGGACCCCATGAAGGAGTTCTGGCTTGGTATGATCTTTGAGCATCCCTGAAGGCTGGGGTGTGGAGGGGAGATTTCTCCCTAAAGAATCTGATCAGGCAGCTTGAGGGAGCTCCTCGCATTCAGGAAGAGCTCCAGGTGATGGGGGCACTGAGGAAGCTGCCCACCAGGGTGTTGGTGGGGCTGGGTCACTGAGAAGGTTCTGGTGTGTGCTGGGTGTGTGGGAGGGTGGGACTGTTGCACGTGGGCTTTATGCTGCATCTAAGCCCCACACAATCCACCTGCAGCATGAACTTCTCAGAAGCCACAGGAGGAGAACAGTTATTGATTGACTGGGATTCTGGGCTGTCATTGGGTGGTCACACAGGTTCCCTGGAATTCTGTGAGGAATGCCAGTCACTGTGGCGTTGTTTTCTCCCTTTTCCTTCTGCTCTCTTCTGGAGCAGATGTTCGTGGAGAATGAAATAGCCAGAAGCATCAGTTGGGAAATGAAGAATTAGAAACTCATCACGTGTATATGCAGTATCTGATAGAGTTGATAAGTTTTGTGGTTTGCTTGGTTCAAAAATCCCATCAGTGACCTTGGAGTCAGTGGTTGATCTCCTCTCCCACTTGGTGAGATAAGTGGATAATAAGTAGGACTGCTCCTGCTTGGGAGAGAAGGAATCAGTGGGGGCAGATTCATCCCATGATTACCCACCCCCACCCCCACTCCCTCCCAGAGGGCATGGTTCCCATGCTCAGAAGCATGGCTGTGCCAAAGACATAATGGGTTGAGAAAACAAGCCTGCCATAAGAGATGGTATAGGGAAGACCCCCGCGCCCCACCCCATTGTCACAGGAGGAAAAGGCCAAGACACATTTGGGGGACTGAAAGTCTCAGATGCAAACAGTGGGTGCTCACACACACAGGGTGATTGGTTACCAGAATTCCATTCCTCGTTCTTAGGACTTGACAAGCTACACAACCTCACCATGGGCACGCCCACCCGCTATGAGGTAAGAGTGGACTTACAGACTGCCAACGAATCTGCCTATGCCGTGTACGACTCCTTCCAGGTGGCCTCCAGCAAGGAGCGGTACAGGCTCACAGTCGGGAAATACAGAGGCACGGCAGGTAAGACAAAATGTGTCTTTTCTGCTGGGGTCTCCTGCCTGGTGCATCTTGAGGATGGGTCAGCCACCTGCCGTGGACCTGGGGGATGGAATATTGTTTCACGAAGGTGAATTGTCCTCATTGAACAGTTGAGGCCCTGCTCCCTGTAGGGGGTAAAACAGAATCGTCAAAGCAATCTTTGACCATCATAAAATCAGAACTTCTGTATGTTACACACTGATCCCCCACCAGTAAAAACCTTCCTCTTCTACTGCCCCAGTTCAGGCTGTTGTACATTAGCTGATGAACCTACATTCCGAGAGATTTCATGGTGTCTGCCCACCTCTTATTCGGCTTCAGTAGTGTGGCTGCCACTCTTGCACAGCGGTGCCTGTGTGTGTGTTATTTAAATTTATTGTGGTACTTGGCCATAAATAAGACAGAAGAATGGAAGTGCTGATTCATACAATAAGAAGAATCGGTCTCATTAACTCCACACAACTATGGCAACACAGAGATTAATAGTTCAGCTGAAAGGAGGGGAATGGTAGCCTCAATTAGCGTCTTACTGGATTTAAGCCAGTTGGTGGTGTGTTAAGTCTTGAAAGGAAAAGAACAAAATTAAGCAGCTGATGAAATACTGGAATTATGACACTGAGCATTTTCTTTAAGATGCAAGGCGTGGTTTTTGTTTTAATATTATACTTTAAACCTATATTTATCATCTTTAAACCCTAGCAAGTCAGTCTAGTGTTTGACTTAGCATGTTTTTGACTTTGTTGGGGCTATGTAGGAATGTGTGTGTGTGTGTGATAGTCGCTCAGTCGCTTCCAACTCTTTGGGACCCCAGTGACTGCATCACACCAGGCTTCCCTGTCCTTTACTACCTCCCAGAGTTTGCTCAAACTCATGTCTATTGAGTTGATGATGCCATCCAACCATCTCATCCTCTGTCGTCCCCTTCTCCTCCTGCTCTCAATCTTTCCCAGCATCAGGGTCTTTTCTAATGAGTCGGCTGTTCGCATCAAGTGGCCAAAGCTTCAGCTTCAACATCAGTCCTTCCAGTGAATATTCAGGGTCCATATAAAAAACGTGGAAGTCAGGCATAGAAAAAAGCCAGTTAAAATACAATTGGGAAACACAGATGGACATTTAGTGGTTTCTAAGGATATTAATTGAATGAGAGGGATTTCAAGACGCCCTTTTGTAGGAGTAAGTGCACTGGTTCCCACCCTCTTTCACCAACTGTAGCTGATCAGATTGCATTACAGCCAGAGGTGGAAAGGGTGTGCACACTGCAGTCTCTTTTAGACCTGTCAGTGAAAAACAAGAAAGACATGGAAGTTTTATTCCAGCCAACCTGAGGATTATAACCCGGGTGGCAGTCTTTCAGAAAATTCAGAGGACTGTCTCTCCTGTTAGAGGTCAGAGCACAGTTAGATAAGTGTTTGAGATAGAGGGTTATAAGTCCATCAAATGATGTATCATTGACAGTTTACACAGTCCAGATCTACACCACATACAAGGTATTGGATCACAGGTCATGATTCATGATGGCTCCTTGGGGGTATTAAGAGGGAGTATCATTTCCTAAAGAGGTCTGGTTAATACAGATGCATGGTACACACTAAAGGAGAAGGACAAGGTGCAAATGGGCCCTGTATCTTGCCAGAAAATACGAACTTTATTTCATCAGACCCCTCGGGCCTCCACCTGTTCTGTCTCAGCCCACATAGTTAAATATCTGGCCATCCCTTTTCTTCCCAATACCCTGTTCAGTCCTGACCACAGTGATCAGTCAGCCTTCCTTTCTCAGACTGAAAAAGCCCAGTCTTCAGAGACTCCACTCATGGCACCTTCTACAGGTAAGATATGGGATTAGGCTGGTTCCCTCTGGCATTTGTGCCCACATCTCGCCCTGAAACCCACTGCCCTCGTGGGCCTTCTGCTGGGGACCTCACTCAAGCCTGCCCTCCCAGGCTACCTAGTCCCCCCTCCCTCTAGTGTTCAAATGTCCCTTCTCTGAGGTCTATCCTAATCCAGTAAATGACCTGTTGCTAATGGGAAAATGAGTGAAAAGAGGTCAACATCTTTGTGAATTACTGTGATTCTCCTCCCGGGGACTGTATTTGCATTTTAACTGTGATTAGGGGCTAATTCCCATTCTAAGGTTGTGCAGGCCAACAAGTGCTGGTCAGTGGAGGATGTATTTTTTAATAGGAAGCCTTGGGAGACTTGGAATTCATGCAGCATTTAGGCAGCGGTCTAATCTTCCCCTGTGTACTATCATTCTTACTCTTAAATTCTGAATTATACTGGTGGGGTTAGTGGAGTTTGAGCTTTCCTTATATGTGCTGATTGGTCCTCAAGGAGGATTTTGAAATTTAGCAAGCTTCTGGCTGCTTATGTCCTACATGATGAAGTACTGTTTAGAGGACATGGTATTCAGATAGAAAGTGAACATTTTGATATCTCCAGGCATGGGCCTGCTCTCCCCAGCTTTTAACCCTGTTGTCACTCTTTTTGGAACTAGAGATGTACAGCTCTGGTGGATAAGGGAGGTTTTAGACTCTTTTCCTACTCAGACTGTCCAGGCAGACCCTCAACTTTTGCTTCTACTGAAGTCAAATCAAGAAGCTGCAAAATAGAGACAGAGACACAGATGTGGAGAACAGATATATGGACACCAAAGCGGGGGGAAGATTGGACTGGGATGAACTGGGAGATTGGAATCCACATATTCACACTGTTGATACTATGTATAAAATAGATAACTAAGGAGAGCCTGCTGTGGAGCTCAGGGAACCCTACTCAGATATATGTGTGTGTGGAGCCTATTCACTTTGCTATACAGGAGAAACTAACAACCTTATAAAGCAGCCGTGTGCTAAATCGGGCTTCCCAGGAGGCACTAGTGATAAAGAGCCTGCCTGCCAGTGCAGGAGACATAAGAGACACGGGTTCGATCCCTGGGTTGGGAAGATCCCCTGGAGAAGGAAATGGCAGCCCATTCCAGTATTCTTGCCTGGAGAATCCCATGGACAGAGGAGCCTGGCGGGCTACAGCCCACAGGGTCTCAAAGAGTTGACTTGACTGAAGCATATGTGTTGCTGATTCATTTTGCTGCACAGTTGAAGCTAAAACAACATTGTAAAGCAGCTATACCCCAATAAAAATTAATTTAAAAAAAAGCCAGCACATTATTCCTCCTTAAAGGAAATTCCAGCAAGGTAATGCCAGGTCAATTGACTTTCTGATTCTTGGAGTGAGACAGGTAGGACATTGTGTGAGCTCTACCTTCAGGATGCTGCTGTTCATTAATTTGGAGATTATATTGAAAACATAAATAGGCAGATATTCAGGGTGGTGCAGAAGGATTTCTGTGGGCTAACTAGCCACTTGCAGCTGATTTCAGAGACTTAGAACTGCTCAAGAAGGGATGGTTCACCCCCTACAGACACTTAGAAATGTGACAAGCAACTCAACCAGCATTCAGTTGGCTGGGGACAGGGTTGCCAAATACCCACAGTGAAAAATTGTTCCATCCCAAAGGCCAGTGCCTTCCTAGCTTTGAAGTGAATTTTTAAGTACTGGCACTTAAAGAAGGAAAAGATCGTTGAACACATGAACAAAAGGGAAAGCTGGAGGTGACACAAATCACACTTTCATGGGCCCATTCTTGGTCTCAGAGTGGAAGAGGTTCAAGGTCCAGACACGTGATCCTGTGCCTGTGTGTTATTCATAGAGGATGTGATGTTAACAGCTTCTTCTGACCTGAAATGGCTTAGCTGCCTGGCTCATCTTTCCTATCTCAGGAGGTACGAGAGGAGAAGAGTTGGTCCCAGAGTGATTTATATATGTATATATTTATATTTTAAATATTTTATTTTTATTTATTTTTGGCTGTACTGGATCTTCATTGCTGTGCATGGGCTTTCTCTAGTTGTAGCGTCTGGGGGCTACCCTTTAGTTGTGGTACACAGGCTTCTCATTGCGGTGGCTTCCCTCATTGTGGAGCACGGGCTCTCGGGCTTCAGGAGTTGCAGAGCATAGGTTCTGGATTGTGGGCTCAGTAGTTGTGGCACACAGGCTTAGTTGCCCTGCAGCAGGTGGGGGCTTTCCGGACCAAGGATCAAACCTGTGTCCCTTGCAATGGCAGGTGGATTCTTTACCACTCGACCCACTAGGGACCCCGTTCCCTCCCCCCAAGAGATATTTTGATGAGATGGATGCTGACCAGTTAGCAGCCCCGCCTGGGCTTGGGTTCAGACCTCTTACGGGCTTGCCACGACTCTCCCACCCAAGGCCATTACACTAGAAGTGGGGCACTTGTCTCTCATCAATGTTTTCTCCTAAAACTTCCAGAAAGGGAGAGAGAGTATAACCACCATTGACTTTTCTGCTCTATTTTCCTTGAGGAGATAAGCTTAATACATCAGAACACTGTCTTGGCCAGGGCCTGATGACCAAAGAAAAGTTAGTTTTTGATTTATGAGAGCACTCGCTATCTACACTTGGAGCATTAGTGTGCCTTTGGTCTCTGAAGCCAGAAGGTAGATAATCCATCTTGGATTGGAGGTGGGGGGAAGTCTCACACTCAGGCCACAACCTGCCTCACCTTTCTTTATCCCAGTGCCCAAGGTTAGATAGCCACAAGGAGATCTTTAAGAAACAGCCTCTGCACAGGTGCTTAGAAAACAGCTCATGGAACTTACTTGCAAGTTAGGTAAACTGTGCTCATTAAAAGTGTTACTAAGGGAGCCATTATGTGGTATTTTGAACTGTAGGGAACTATCTGCAGAAAATCTAAGGAGATGAAGAAATGTCTGTGAATGAAGTGACAGTTTGCTCTTCTTTCATTGGAGAAAATTAATGGGGGAAGAGGTTTTGCTGTGTCTCAGAAAAGACTGTGATGAGGGGAAAGATTGAAGGGAGGAAGAGAAGGGGACAATAGGATGAGATGGTTGGATGGCGTCACCGACTCAATGGACATGAGTTTGAGCCAGCTCCGGGAGATGGTGAAGGACAGGGAAGCCTGATGTGCTGCAGTCCATGTGGTCACAAAGTGATGGACACGACTGAGTGACTGGACAACAACAAAGGTGGACATGAGGGCTCCCCGGGTGGCCCACTGAATCCACCTACCAGAGCAAGAGACATGGGTTCGATCCCTGGGTTGGGAGGATCTCCTGGGGAAGGAAATGGCAGCCCATTCCAATACTCTTGCCTGGACAGAGGAGCCTGGCAGGCTACATATTGTCCATGGGGTTGCAAAAGAGTTGGACATGACTTAGTGACTAAACAACAACAACAACAAGGTGGACATGAAAGGGCCACCGTCTGAGCTCCCAAATGAGAAAGACAAACTGAGACCTTCCCTTTCCACCATGTTTTGTCAACTCTTTATGTATCTATCCCCAGCCACCCACAACTAAGAGCAAGGACCACTGTTTGCATTCCCAGAGCCTGGGCCATGGCAGGTATACCTGATGTTTCCTGAATGAATGAATGAATGAGGTTGCAGGACAAAAGTTCTCAAGCTTCAGCTGGCATCTGAAGGGCTTGTCAAAGCACAGACTGCAGGGTACCACCCTGCAGTTTCTGGTTCTGTAAGACTGGGGTGGGCCTGAGAACATGCATTTCTAACAAGTTCCCAGGTGCAGATGCTGCTGGCCCAGGGACCGAACTTTGAGAACCACTGTTGTAGATAGTCAGAGATAGCTCATTCTTGTTGGCATAATCAAAGCCTGCTGTTGAAATAAGCAAACCCCAGGTGAATTGGTGGCTCAGAAAGAACGCCGGGCTTGGGGTCTGAGGTTGGAGCTTTGAGTCCTGGCTCTGCTGCCAGTGGACTGAGAGACTGTGGCAAGTCCCTAGAACAAACTCTGTGAGTTTCCTTCCTCATGGGACTAAGAGCTGCCTGACCCACCCCGCAGGCTTGTCAGGGGCATCAGATGAGAATGCACATGTGGAGGTGATCCGTAACTCGGAGATCAGATTACATGGAAGTATTGTTATCATAGGAACAGACTTGATTAATCTTGGGATTTATATGAGCCCTTATTGCCATTTATGAGCTGAATTAAAAAATAAACTTGTAAAAGGATGACAAATGAGATGGGGAAATAGTAGAACACAAGTCAAGTAATTAAGGCAGGTTTCTAGACAGTTTGTAATGAGCACTTAATTGTTCCTGTGTGCCCAGAAGGGCTCTAGAAGTTCAGGTGTGTGTGTTAAGAGGGCACATGGGAGGATTAAGAAGGAGACTCTTCCTCAGGAGTGAGATTGAGCTGGGCTTCGAGGAGTGGTGAGGACTTGGACTGATGAAGGGTAGAGAGAAGCAGGTAAGCAGAGGCATGGATGATGGACTCATCCCCCCTACACATTCAGCGCCTTTGGGGACAGACAGCAGGCTATGAGGTTGTACAGAAGATACAGACAAGGTACAAGCCTGCAAAGCCAGGAGGAGTAATTCACTCCACTTGGGAGGAAGTAGATCTGAGATGATGAAAAAGGATACTTATTAAGCTTCGGAAGAACTGGGAAGCCTGTTGTGTTGACACAGGCCTGGAGAGGTGAGAAGAGCCCAGGGTGGCAGACGTGGGGGACAGGGGTGTATTGGAGTGATCTGCAAAAGGAAGGGCTGGATCATGGTGGGGGGCGGGGGCAACAGGATTTTCAAAGGTGGCTCAGGAGTGCCTAGTCTGGACCAATGGTGGGATGCTGAAGCAGAGACAGTGGCATGGGATGGGGGTCAGTTGTGTGAGGTTGGTCTGGTACTATGAGGAATGTCGAGGAGTTCGGTTTTAGATGTTTGGATATTTTACTGTGAAGCCGCTAAGTGGAATGCTATTCAAGCTGTTGGAAAAACAGGCCTGAAGTTTGGATGACAAGCAAGGAAAGAGAACCTGTTCATTCGTATCGTGTGCTCATCTTGGTGATTTTGAGAAAGGCGTGACTCCTTTTGGCATAACCAACTGCACCCCTGGCATTTTCGTGCCCGGAGGTTTTCCTGCCGAGTCCTCTCTCAGGCCACAGGAGGATCCCACCCACCTCTGTCACCTCTGCCCACAGGGGACGCGCTCAGTTACCACAACGGATGGAAGTTTACAACCTTTGACCGAGACAACGACATCGCCCTCAGCAACTGTGCCCTGACGCATCACGGCGGCTGGTGGTATAAGAACTGCCACTTGGCCAACCCCAATGGCAGATACGGGGAGACCAAGCATAGTGAGGTGGGTGACAGGTGAACATCTTTTTTGTCCCAGTGAAAGTGTTAGTCGCTCAGTCGTGTCCGACTCTTTGCGACCCCCGGGGACTGTAGCCCACCAGGCTCCTCTGTCCATAAAATTCTCCAGGTAAGAACACTGGAGTGGGCTGCTATTTCCTTCTCCAGGGGATCTTCCTAACCCAGGGATCAAACCCGCATCTCTTTCGTCTCCTGCATTGGCAGGCAGGTTCCTTACCACTAGCTCCACCCGTATTCTGTTCCCGGAGTGACACCCTCCAGCTGGTGTGGCTGCCCCTCTCCTTCTGAGGCCAACAGTCAGGGCAGTAGGGCTCCTTCTCCAGGCTCCGTGGCCTTGAGGTCTAGGTCCTCTCTGCCCATCTGCAGCAGCCTACCCCTCTCTGCATTCCCACCAGTGCTTCGGCCTTCCTCAGTGTAGGGAGGACTCAGGCTGCCCACTGCTTAACAGGGATGGTATGCGTCACACATCATCCTACTTTACAAATTCACATGTGGACACTCTCTTCGTCAGCTTGAACTGCTGTAAGAAAATAATAGAGACTGGGTGGCTTAAACAGCAGGCATTCATTTCTCATGGTTCTGGGGGATGGAAAGTCCAGGTTCCCAGCAGATTCAGTTTCTGATGGGAGGTCTTTTTGGCTTGTGGATGGCCGCCTTGTCACTGTGTCCTCACTCAGTAGAGGCAGAGCTTGCTCGCCCTCTCGCTTGCCCGCTTGCTTGCCCACTCGCTTGCCCGCTCCCTTGCAAGTTCTGGTCTGATCCTACCATGGGTGATGTCATCTAACCCTAATTACCTCCCAAAGCCTCCACTTGTGAATACCATCACATTGGTGGTTAGGGCTTCAATGTATACATTTTTGGGTGTTGGGAGGGGACACAAACATTTTATCCATAACAGACACATCAGAATTCTATCCACTTGTTCTTCCAGTTAAAAGTGAAAATTCTAAGTGTTAGTCGCTCGGTCATGTCTGACTCTTTGAGATCCCCGCTCCTCTGTCCATGGAATCCTCCGTGCAAGAATACTAGAGGGGGTAGCCATTCCCTTCGCCCAGGGGATCTTCCCGACCCAGGAGTCGAACCCGGATCTCCTGCATTGCAGGTGGATTCTTTACCATCTGAGTCACCAGGGAAGTCCTTCTTCCAGTTACACCAGAGCTGTTTTTCTCTGTCCTTTGATCACGGGGAACAGTTTTCTGCTTTAGGTAAAACCCATAGGGTCGCATAGAGTCGAAAATGACTGAAGTGACTTAGCATACACACACACTCTTGGATCCACTTCATCCTAGAGCAACCCAAAGTCTGCTCAGAGCATTGTGCTAAACCAGTTTCTCCACTTCAGGAGTGTGAACACAGGCTCCTCACCCCTCCGTTGCTCTAAAACTTTCCTACCAGTGATTTCTCGAACTCTCATGCCCCGAGAACATCATCTTGACTCCTCGCCAGCTACTAGGCATCTCCTGCTTGCTCCCTCACAGCTTCTTGAAAATTGCATCTTTGTTCCTACTCATCATTAATTCATCCCACTCTATGAAATTTCCCCTCCTTGGGTTTCTAATTTCCTACCCTGGGTCTTGATCCTAGCCTTCAGGAAGCCACCTCTCCCCGGAACTCACCTTATATCAAAATGACTGTAAATATTAATACATCTAAAGTCCAGGTATACTCTGATTCTGTTGGACCTAACCAGGCAGTAGGGACTCCCCATCCTTACATGATTTTTCAAAGGGAAGAAGAAATTTGCACTCAGGGGAGCCAAGGAGGGTGGGCCCATGAATCCTGGAGGCTGTATGTGGACTGACTCAGGGAAGCTGTGATCAGAGATCAGATATTCGAAATGAGCAGCCAACGTGCCCTAAACCATCCCCATATTTGCTAATAAAAGACATTCATCTGGTTAATGTGCTTTTCACAGTCTGCACAGCATTTAGCTTCTTGTTTATTATTTACCTCAGAAATTAAAATACATAAAATTGGTCACTTGGGCTCTTTATTGGCCAGGTTGCAAGGTTATTAAGTGAATTAAATATTATTGTGCTCACCAGTCAAAAGTCATAAAGCGAAATTTAGTTTTCAGCAGGCTATTCGTTACCCCAGAGCTAATATCTGTACAGTGTAAATTGAAAATGATTTTACACAATTGGCCAATTAATGTGTTTATTTTTGTCTTTAATTTTTTGTAAAGGAAAAGAGTGAGGCAGATCACTGGGAATTCAATCACTGCTGACCAGGCTGACCCTGTGTTGTCTTTGCAGCTGCTCAGCTTCACCGCCTGCTGGGCTCACAGCCCCAGCCTCCAGCCCCAGGGGGCTTCCCAGTCCTCAGCCTGTCTAACCTCAGCTGCCCAGCAGAGGGCACACTCCCAGATTCCGCGCTCGCTCCCTTTATAAGTACCCCAGTCTCCTTTTCTGTCCCTTGTGCCCAGAGGTGTGGGCTTCACAGGGGGCACAGCGGTGAAGAACCCACCTGCCAATGCAGGAGGCTTGGGTTCGATCCCTGGGTCGGGAAGATCCCCTGGAGATGGAGATGGCAACCCACTCCAGTATCCTCGCCTGGAAACCCTGTGGACAGAGGAGCCTGGTGGACTGCAGTCCACGGGGTTGTGAAAGAGTTGGACGCGACTGAGCGACTAAACAACCGCAAAGGAGGGAGGGAGTGGTTTCTCTGGTAGAGAAGCACTCTGTGGTGCCGTAACCCACTCCAGTCTCCCTAGTGCCTCTTCTTGATGTTGGCTTGCTTGTTTATTGGCTTATTTCTTTATTTAACATAGGGGGTGAACTGGGAGCCATGGAAGGGACATGAATTCTCCATTCCCTTTGTGGAGTTGAAGATCCGACCTCATGGCTACAGCGGGGAGCATGTTCTGGGCAGAAAGAAGCGAATGCTGGGAGAAAATTCGAGAACGTTCTGATGGCCCATTTGTGCACATATGGCACAAGAGGAGACCAGCCCAGGGTTGGGGCTGTGTAAGCGTGGGGTGGGGTGGGTAGTGATGACTGACTAATGGAGGTTTGAAGAAGGCTTATGGCCCCTGGCTTCTGAGATGGCTGGATAACCTGCAGGACAAAGCATGTCAGCCAGCTCTCAGCCATGCAGCTTACTTCCCTGTCACCTGCATTTTGCCCACGTATATCAGGGGCCTGAAAATCCGTACAGAAGTAGCTGCACGATGTCTATGGGTGAGACAGGACTGAAGCTGCAAGGTTTTCTGTTCTAGCTTCAGTAACAAATATATGGGGTTGGGGAAAAAAAAGTGAAGAATCATCTAGTACTTCACTAATTGGAAATCTCAAAATTGGTGTGCGTATATATATATATATATATATGTATACACACATAGTTCTACTAATACAAATCTTCTGTCTAAAAAGAAGTACCAAAGAGGGGTTTCTCTTTGATGACAAGGGGCTGATAGTAGCTGAAACTTACCTTCCATTACCACTGGATTTTGGGGGGAAAAGGCATAAATCTTCCCCTTTTTAAAAAAAATTGTTGATGTTATTCAAGGGAACTAGAAGAGACAAAGAGAGAGTCGAATTTTGCTAAGTTCTGACTGGTATCTGGCATGCTGGAAACCCCAGCTTCCATATTACTGCTATTTTGAAGTGCCCCCTACCAGCCATCTGCATAATCACTTTTGTAGATCTGCATATGTTGTGAATAAATTCTCACTTATTTCAACCTTGAATAGTTTGACTCTCTTGGTAATTGGGTCCTCCCAAAGACTCTTCTTTGTCACTCCTTCATAACATCAAGTCCTCAGCCTCCTCCCCTCTCCCCTACCGCCTATTCTGTTGGACCCCTGGGTTTTCTGAAAGTGCTCAGTACCAGATGCTTATTGTCTGAATGGACACTTGGCAAGGTCAGATACTTTTGTCTTATTTTCCTATCACTTTGGAAGGTTTTTCTGTAGCAAAGTCAGTAACCATTGAAAAAAGTCAAATTCCTATTCAAGAAAAAATAAATAAATAAACCACTGATTAAAAAAAATCTGCTGTGTGTTATTTTCCCCGCATAAGTGCACTTGAATTCTAAATTTAACCTAAGTGCAAGCAAAGGTACAATTTGACCGTTATAATGGAATTTGGTTGGCTGTGACCTCTTACTGTTGTGATGGTAAATAATGGTATTTGGAAGCAGGAGAAGTGAGTGAGTGAGGAGGAAGACAAATGCCCTACAAGCTGCAATCCTCCTTCAGGATTGGGAGTCCTTTATTACCTCGGGTTCTCCAGGTTTTAACCTCTGGCCAAACGCCAAGCCATCCTTTTGGAATAGTGTTTGTCAACCTTTAAAATTTTCAGCATCCCCTTGGCTCCGTTTACACATGCAGTGAGCAATAACTTGGTAACTGCTCAGTCTGATAAAGGGCAGTCTGGATGAAGTACCGTGTAGGTGTTGGGGCTGAGGGTTTAAAAACAAGCTTGCACCTTGTTCATTGATTCAAGGAGACTTTAAGGCTCTGCCTGCTTACCAGGCAGTGTGAGGTGAGCTCACAGAGGTGAGCAAGCCAGTTCTTGCCCTACTGGAGTGTGTGTGCTGTCATGCATTCATTCCTTCATTCATTCAACAGATACTGATTAAGCCCTACTACATGCTGGTCTACTGTAAGTCCTGCTACTCCAGAAGTGAACCAAATGCAAGATTCCTGTCCTTGTGCTGATATTCTGTTGGTGGAGGCTGATAATTAATAAACAACAGATATCCATACAATTCCCAGAAGTGATAAGTGCCATGAAAGAAAATTAAGGTAGGATCAAGAGATGGAGGTGGAGATTGGTGGCAGTACTGGGGGACTCCACAAGCCTCTGTGAGGAGCAGATATTTGTAGAAACTGACTAGATGTCTTTAGTCTTGATCCAGCTTCCTTAGGGCCAGTTCAGTTCAGTTGCTCAGTCGTGTCCGACTCTTTGCGACCCCATGAACCGTAGCATGCCAGGCCTCCCTGTCCCATCACCAACTCCTGGAGTCTACCCAAACCCATGTCCTTTGAGTCAGTGATGCCATCCAACCATCTCATCCTCTGTCATCCGCTTCTCCTCCTGCTCTCAATCTTTCCCAGCATCAGGGTCTTTTCCAATGAGTCAGCTCTTTGCATCAGGTGGCCAAAGTAGTGGAGTTTCAGCTTCAAAATCAGTCCTTCCAATAAACACCCAGGACTGATCTCCTTTAGGATGGACTGGTTGGATCTCCTTGCAGTCCAAGGGACTCTCAAGAGTCTTCTCCAAAATCATACCTTAGGGTCAGAGCAGGAGCTAATTTCCTTGTCAGTTTTAAAGATCCCTTTGCACGGCCTGTAAATTCCAAGGCCTCTCATCTCCTGTTTGCAGGTAGAGTCTCCACCTCGGTAACTCAGGACCCCTGTGCTCACCACAGTGGATGCAGCCTTTTTGGAAAAGGAAAGCCACCTCTGCAGATTGGATCAAACCCCAGTATGATTCAGAATGGGGGTGGAGTGCCTGGTGGGTGGTCTTCCCACACTGAATCAGGCTTCTCAGATGCTCCTGGGGAAGAGGACTGCTGGGCCCCCGCCCCTCTGACTTGGCAGCTCTGGGCTGGGGCTGCTGATGGATGGGTGACTGTAGCTCTGGCAAAGGGGGCCACTCGCTGCTGGGCTATTTGCTCAGGAGGCGTCTGACATGGTAGCCAGAGAACTTGAGCTGTCTCTTGCATTCTTTCCCCTGTAGGGTTCTTGCTGCCCTGAAAGGACAGGACAGAGAAAACCTCAGTTGACTCCTCAAGGATTCCACTGGGGCAGAGAAGGAAGTTGGTGGGGGTAGGGGCAGGGAGCTCATTTTCAAAGATGTTTGTCTGACTGAGGAGAACATTCCAGACCTAAACCTCTGTGCCTAACCTCATTTTAATGTGACTAACTCTGGGAGCTCCTGCTCTGGTAGCTGAATATAGGATAAGCCCCAGAATAGATTTCTGGGTAGACCTGCATTTTCGAGGGTCAGACACTTAGAGTCAGATTATGAGCCATCAGCGTTTTGAAGCTTCAGGGATGATTCTTACTGGTTAGGGCAAATCAAATAATCCTAAAGAGAATCAACCCTAAATATTCATTGGAAGGACTGATGCTGATGCCAAAACTGTAATAGTTTGGCCACTTGATGCGAAGAGCTGACTCATTGGGAAAGACCCTGATGCTGGGCAAGATGGAAAGCAGGAGAAGGGGGTGACAGAGGATGAGATGGTTGGATGGCATCATCGACTCAGGGGACATGAGTTTGAGCAAACTCCGGGAGATAGTACAGGACAGGGAGCCTGGCATGCTGCAGTCCATGGGGTCACAAAGAGTTGGACACGACTGAGCAACTGAAGAACAGCAACAAACAAAAGCTGTCATAGTAGGGACAGGGGCATAGCCAGGCACCAGGGTAAAAGTGAGGATGGAGTATCACAAACAGTTGATAAAGTCTCTGAGCGGTTTCCTGTTCCATGGGAGATGCTAGCAAAGCCCTGAGTGATCAGCAGAACACAGCCTCTGCCCGCAGGGTGGTGGGGACAGCTGTGGGGATGCATAGTGGGCCCTGCAATGGAGAGAGTGCTGTGAGCAGAGCGGGGTGCCCCAGAAAGTGTTGCGGGTGTGGTGTCAGCATCACGTCTGGAAGAACAAATCTGGATTCGCCAGGGACAGGTGAAAGGCTGGGGGCAGGCAGGGCACCTCAGGACGAGGTTACCTAATGGCAAAAATGAGATAGGACGGAGTGTGGTGTGTTTCAGGGAGAAAGATGGTTTCTTGGTGGGGTGGGGAGCCATACTGGAGGGACAGGCAGGAACTCCTCTCAGCCATGTGAGCACGGTGGTCTCAGCTGGCACCGTGGTCCCAGCTGTCACTGATCATCAGAATCAGCTGGAGCTGTCACGTAACCAGACCCTACTTCACCCCCAGAGATGCCGCTTCAATGGGTCTCAGCTGAGTCCTGCACAGCTGTGCTTTCTAAACCTTCAGAAGCTTCTAACATGCAACTGGGGCTGAGAACCACAGCTAAGATGAAAAAGTTTGGGAGGGGCAGTGGAGAACACGAGGGTGCTTAAACCTTGGAGGGACACTTGTAGTGAGACTTGTATTTTGGAAGCATCAGTCTGGTGACAGCATAGAGAATGGAAGGAGGCGTGGAAGGAAGTAGAGATTCACAGACAGTGAAGGGTTATTGCAATAGGCGATGGGTATGGGCTTCCCAGGGGGCTCAGTGGTAAAGAATCTGCCTGCAATGCAGGAGACATAAGAGATGAAATTTCAATCCCTGGGTTGAGAAGATCCCCTGGAAAAGGGCATGGCAACCCACTCCAGTATCCTTGCCTGGAGAATCCCCATGGACAGAGGAGCCTGGTGGGTTATAGTCCATGGAGTCGCAAAGAGTTGGACACGACTGAAGCGACTAAGCGTGCAGGCACTGACTTCCTTGGCCTGAGGCAGAAATGGTGGGAAACAGAAGAGCACAGATCAGTAATATTAATAGAAGGAAGGATTAACAGGATCTGAGAGGAATGGGTGGTAAGTGAGGGGAGGGCTCCTTTCATGGCAGAGTTTAAAACTGGTTGTTCTTGACAGTAGCTTCCTCTGGGAAAAGGGTCCCAACGTTTATGTTTGTCACATGAAGGCCAGAGTTCTGCTTTGGGGAATTCCCTGGCTGTCCAGTGCTTAGGGGTCTGTGCTTCATTGCTGAGGACCTGGGTTCAATCCTTGGTTGATTCCACAAGCTGTGTGACCGAAAATTAAAAAAAAAAAATCTGCTTTTTAATTTGGAATTCTCAGGGATTCAAGGATCATTAAAGCCAGAAAACGCTGAAGGAACTAGGGAGAAAAAAAAAAGACCCAAAGTATTATGATCAAAGGGATGCCCTGCAGGAAAAGACCAGGTGTGCTGTGTGAAGAGAGGGAGGCTGTGGACAGGTGGAGTGTCCCGG